CTGAAGATAGTCCTGTGGGGCATGTACCTATCCCAGATTGGTGGGTTTGAAAGTGGAGCTTCAGAGAAGTGAAGGAATTTGCCCAAGGACACACAGTCAGGACGTGGGGCATTGAAATCTGAATGAGGCTGACTGTTTTGAGGACTCTGATCTAGTCTCCCTCCTTCCCCCAGAACTTCAGAACAAAAAAGTAACTCATACATGTAGCAAAACTTGAGACATTTTAGAAGCTTTTCAGAAGAAACTCATCAGTTTACCTATAAGATCACCCACCACTGAGAGAGGAGAGAGAGAGAGAGAGAGAGAGAGAGAGAGAGAGAGAGAGAGAAAGAGAGAGACAGCCGGGAAGGATTTTGTCAGATTTCACTTACTATTTTTTTTATCTAGAATATATACACATGCAAATTAAATTTTCATGAAATTAGGTTACTATAAATTAGCATTTATTTCTCTTTTTTTGTTTGTCCTAGATAATTAACAGCCATTTAAAATAATCCTGGGAAGAGCTGTAAATGTGCCATATGTGTCCCTCCTTCCTACCCATCCTGGTCTTCACTGGAGCCTTTCCTGTCCCTGTGGTCCCTAACCGGCTCCCTAGACTTGGGCTCCCTCTCATTGCCATGTGACATCCGAGAGAGTCTCAGGGCTTCTGTGTTCCTTGTCCTAAAGGCTTTTCCCAGAGTTTCTGGCTCCTGAAGTTTGCTCTGATGGTTCTTAGAAATCACTTTTCCGTTATCATCTCAGAAGGGACAAAAAGGACAGGCAGCATGGCTTAGAGGTTCAGAGCACAAATCCTAGGGTCAGGCAGGCCTGCGTGGAGGCCCAGCCTCACCTCTCACTGACCTGCAAGTTTGAGCAAATTAGTTCCTTCACTCTCAAGGGGATCTGTGGGGGCATCCAGGATATGATGGCTGTGCAGGGCTGAGCCTGGGCCTGCTGTCTGGCCTGCCCATCACTGCTGGGGAGGTGACCAGTGGACACTGAAATTCCTGTCCTCATGGCATAGGGGCTCCATGCCTTAAAGTGGTCTTATCGCTGTCACTCTGTGGAAGAAATCTCTAAGGCCTAAGGGAAGCAAGGCCTGTTGGGTTTCATGGGCATTCGGTTCCCAGGTCACTTGCAGTGTTTAGTCTGCCTTCTCTGGCTGAGCTCCTTGGGCTTTGTCTGTGGGCACACTATGGCCGGCATGGGCTCCTTTTGTTCCTAACAGCCAAGGATCAAAGGTGCACAAGGGACAAGGTCCATCCATCCACCCTGGGATGGCTTCAGAGTGGAAGGTTCAGGAAGGCTGATGCAGAGCACACAATAAAAAAGGACACTGGGTCTGGGAAGAGAGAAACTGGCCAGGGAAGGGCTGCTGGCCAGCAGTCTCAGGCTCCTGATGCAGCTCTCTGCAGGCGGGAGGCCTGTCCTCACCTTGCTTTCACTCAAATGTGGCCAGTCCTGCACTGATCTGTGTCCTCCCTCAGGACAGTCACTGTCCCAGGGAAAGGTCCTGAGATGAGAAGCCAGGAGGCAGAGAGTGGCTAGCCCCAGGACCATGGGTAGGTGATCCCCTTGCTATGGTTACAGGAAAAATTTCTGCCACAGGGCCACAGGGAGATCCAGGGCTAAAGGTGGTGCAATTTTCATGAATATACTCCATATTCATGAATACAAAGACAGGATTTGGATTCTGTCCAATGGGACTCCATAAAAATTATGATGGTTCTTTCCTCTTATTAATAATTTTCAAAAAGCCAGGAAGTCTTGATTGCTAGAATGAAGTGGAGTTAAAAGGCTCCCTCTCTGGAGACCACTTTTTTCACTCATCTCATTTCTCAGGAAAAGAAACTGAGGCTCAAGGTCACCCAGAGCAAGCAACACTGCTCCAAAGATAGGAGGGAAAATAATGTGGATAGTGTCTCAGTCCCCCGACCTGGAAACCAAGAAGTCACACCATAAAGACAAAGGAAAAAAACCCAACTGAGAATTATCCAAGCCATTGTTAATTAACTCATTTCTCTTTCACCCTTTTCTTATTGTTCCTAGAAGCAATTATGCGCTGGCGCCCTCTTCTCCCACCTCTAGCCACCGCATAAAACTGTCACAGATTAAATCAGATTGTGCAGCCACTTCATTAGGGAGACTCCAGCTTTCATTCTCAGGAGTATTTCTGTTCTTCTCAAATAAAAGCCCTTGCCTGATGAGTTAACTCCTTCCTGGGGCTTCTCAGAGACTTGTAAGCAGCCACCAAGGGCCTTGGAGGCCTGACAGGATTTGGGGGGCTCATAGCATGGATGCAGCCCTGTCTCACAGAGCGTGAGCTCCAACCAGCAGGAGCACAGCAGAGTGGCGTGCTGGAGCCCAGGGAGTGTTAGAGTCACAGGTTCCGGGTCCAAGGACTACCTTCCCTTCTGGTCTCAACTTCAGGTATTTGGCTCATCCTGGACCTCATTTAGTCCATCTGAAAACTGTAAGTTTAAACTCCTTTTTGGTCTTCATGTACTGGATTCCAAGAACTCCACCAAAATAGCACACAAAAGCTTGAGACAAACTGTAAAGCTATGGGGAAGGAGTCTGGTGAATGCTAACATCAGCTATTTTCTGGTACAGCTGTGATCTGAGGAGACGAGAAGAGATGGGATGTTATGGTCAGAGCCTGCTGCTGGCAAGTGGCTCCCGGAAAGAATGGAGTGAGAGAGAGGCTGGCCAGCCAGGGGCAGGGGGCTCCTGGAGGCCTAGAGGACAGACCTGTAGCCTGTGGTGTTGGATTTAAGCACTAGGGCAGGATATAAGGACAGCAAGGTGCTGTCAAGGTCTCACTGGACTCCCAGTAGTTCTGGTCAAGAGGCTACCAGGGTTGTCTCTACATGCTGAGGTCTTGCTCTAAAAGCCACAAGGGCTCAATAATAGATTGACTGAGGGCCTGGGGAGCTGGGCGGCCCTGGGGAGCAGCAGAAAAGGACACAGCAACAATGACTGTGCAGCATGGACATTTCAATCTTGTGCTCTGTGTAGAGCTAGGTTCTGTAGAGGTGAAAAGGCTCTGCATGTGTTTCTTTCCTGCAGATGTCCAACTGGGGCTCTGGAGACTAGGGAGTGCCCATGGTCCTGCATCTCTCATAGACACAAAGCTCTTCCAGCCTCACTTTCATGGTGCATCACAATGTTTAATTTTTGCAGGTCTTATGGTTACTCTGAGAATGCTATGCCATATTAGCTTCAATTTTAAGTAATAAGTTGCTCATGAAAATATTTAAAATATATGAACTTTTAAAAAACACTCAACTTGACCTTGTTTCTTAATATCCTAAGAATCACACCACTTGTTTCCAAACCTAGGCAGGGGTCAGCCTCCCTGCATCTTGTCCTCAAGTCATCACTGTCTGGAGTAGCACAGGCCATTTAGAACACACACAGATGGCGCCACTTGAGATTTTTTAAGTTAATGTTGGTGCCAAAATCATATATACTGAGTAGAAACTGTACTGTAAATTTTTAATGTTGATGTTTTCCTAGGTTGGTGGTATTGATATGATCCTTCTTCTTTCTCGTCAGTCACCTGATTATAAGGCAAACAACCTTCCCCTGTAATACCTTGTGTCACCAAGCCATGACATTCTATAGGTTCAGTGTGGGCAGTACACATATGTGGACTCAGTATTTTCAGTGTGCAATGGGTTTAGGAGGACATGGCCCTATAGGAGGGTGAGAAGCATGTGAACACAGAGAGCACCATAGCAGGATCTCAGGCTGGGCAGCATGGCCTGGCTGACTTTGGGACTCTCCAAACTCTTGAGGCTTTCATCCCAGGTGCTGACACAAAAGAAGTGGGGTGTATTTCTTGTTGGCCTGGACACCAGCCGGGGCCACTGCCCTCTCCTCCTCTCAGCCGCTACAGGCAAGATATAGCTCTGTCCATCGATGTGAGCCTGTTCTGTGCTGTCAGCATCCTGGGAGGATGCAGCTTCCTATGACTCCTTTTTGTAATCGTCTATGTTGCTTTCACAATGCTCATATGGGGGTCCAGAATCAGAATGTTTCATCTTTAAGAACAGCCAGGGAATCGACTAGAAATGACGGACCTGGTGTGTGTTTATGCCTGACCATGATCTAATTTCTGTGCATGCCTTATCTCTGCTAATCTTGTAGCCACAAACCAAACTTGTTCTATTATCCTCTCAAACTGGCAGATAAAGGTGTCGAGCTTACACCTTGCAAGCTGCTCAGTCAGCGTGTAAGTGCACCACCATAATTATAACTGAGAAAAGACTGAATTCTAGAAGGAAATTCTGGTGTAGGGCAAGCTGGAGATTAATCGTCAGTGCTCAGGTCCCAGCCTGCCTTTACCTGCCCCATGACTCTGGAAGATCACTTATGCTCTCTGAGACTCAGTTGCCTTCCCTGCAACCTGGGCATAGGCATGCAGAGCTCTGTAGTGATCAAAAGTAACAGCAGATGTGAGTGCTTTGGTAGCACGGACACCAGCAGCTGGTCCAGAGTGTCGTCAGGAAGTCATCCTTAACATGACTTTGTGAAAGCATGTTGGAAAATTCACATAGACAAGAAAATGTAGAGTCAGAGCCCACAGCACATCCCTTTGGGTTATTATGTCACATCGCTCCTAAGTTTTACGTGCCGTGAATCCATGCAGTGAGGAAGCTGATAGCTAGGGTTCCTGAGCACAGACCCTTTGAGGCCACCTGAAACACTGCTCGGCTTGTCAGACAAACACTGCTTGCTGTCCTTGGTGAGGGGGTAGAAGAATGGAAACTTCTGCCACAAACAGAATTCGCTAGCAACTTCCCTCTCTGTGGTTTTTCTCTGTCATCCCCTTGATAAAAGACCTCAAACTGCGCAAATGTAACCAACACAAATCGCATCTTGACATGAAAACAGCCGCCTTTCAAGACGCAGTCTGCCTGAGAGAGAATGCAGGATGCACTCTGAACTGGGTCACTCTCCACCTCGAGGGCTTAGGGTGCAGCTGACTTTCCATCTGTACCCTTGTGCCACAGGCTTCGAGTGTCTCCGGCAGCCCCAGGGGAGAGAGACATGGGAAACAGCATAAAATCCACCCCTGCACCCCCCGAGAGGCCTCTGCCTAGCACAGATGGTAAGTCTGACTTCTTCTTTGGGGAGATGTTCAACTCTGTTCTATGTGCAGGCTGATCATTTTGCTCTATCTGGGGTTCTATACCTCACATGGTGGTTCAAATAGTTACCAACTGAAAATTTAAAAGAATTTTGCACTTGGTAGCAATGCTAAGTTGTGAAAATCCTATAGATGTCTGTTACGGGCTACTTTAGGACCTTTATTTTATGGGTATGGAAACAGAGCTCTGCCCCTTCCCCTCCCACGTACTTTGTGTCATTAGCAAGTTACAGAGTCGGACTTCCAACCAGGACCACCTGAGTCTGAAAGCTGGACCCTTCCTGTCACACATGGCCAGCCTCCGCAGTGTCACCATCCACACAGGCTGCACGGCAGGGGTTCTATCAGCGCTACTCTGCTGAGCTGGACTGTCCCTATCATATCCTCTGGAGAAGAAAGAGGGCCTTGGGTTTCAGTGGTAGGATGGCAAGGTGCCAAACACCCTGGGGTGGGGCACCAGGTTAAACAGTGGTGGCAGGACACTCCAAGTACAAACAGTCCTTCAGCAAGTGGCCAGAAAAGGAGAGGGGACATCGGGGAGCAGAGGAAAGGCTGACAGTCAAAGCCCCTGTGCCCTGGGGTCAGCTGTGCCTCTGACATCCTCACCTTTGTTCATGAAGATTCCAAGTGTGGGCAGCGTGTGTGTGTGTGCGTGTGCGTGCATGTGTGTGTGCGTGTGCACATGTGTGTGTATTCGGGCATGTGTATGGTACCTGTGTGAGTCCTCTGGAGGAATAGAAGGTGACATCATGGAGGCCAGGTGTCCACTAGGTGATTCCTAGGGAGATCTCAGGCAACTTCTGGTTCCCTCCTTCCCTCACAGCATCTGAGGCCTGGTGTCCATCTCATGGCAGAGGTGACTGATGCTTAGTTCTCCTCTGTCCCTGTGACTTTGCATAGGCAATTCACTAGCACAAGCAGGTGCTCTGTCTCTGGGATAGGGCTCAAATGAGCATGGTTCCCACCTGCCTCTAGATACTGCTCCCCCTTTACAAAACAGCTTTCTCCCACACAGCTGCTGGAACAGTGTAATCTCATGGCCTTGTGAGATGTGGACAGGTTCTCCCCACACCTTTCCAGTCAGTCAGGCACTCATCGCATCTCTCACTGTCACAGCCCAGTGGCTCCCCTCTCCAAACCAGAGAGAAACAAGAAGAACCTCCCCAGGTCCGGGAGATGAACCTCGGTGATAAAGCAGAGCAGAGAGTGCATCTTCAGGCTGCCATCTCCTAAGCAAAGCTCGGCAACTGAGCCAGGCTCCTCCCCTCCCTAGACTGGCCCTGGTCCTGGCCTCCAGGAGGTCATAACTGCCACTAGAAAACTGCCACTTCAGTGCCTGGAACCAGCTGAGGGGACACCCAAGCCCAAACCCATCATGAGTCGTCACCTCTCGCCCTGCAGTGCAGGAGCCGCATGCTTGAGCAAGCCCCTTGAAAACACCAGCCGTTGAGGACTTGCTCATTTGCCTTTATTTTTTAAATGCAAATTGTCATTAAGTCAAATTTTCTCTTTCCGTGATGTAGGAGGGAAGTCATTTCTAAAAAATAGGTTATGGGGGTCTCCCCTTCTTGCCCTCTGGTTAAGAGAATTCCCCAGGTCACACCCAGTTTGTAATCCAGGCAACCACATCAAGCACTGCTGGGTTATTTTTTCACCCCTTAACTCTGAAAAGTTTCCTTTATCATCAGTCCTGGCTTTGTTTCCTCTTTCCTCTAGCACCTACTGAACAAGGGAAGAGAAGTGGGTGGGATGGATGCTGTGCTAATTAGTTCCTACCTATGCAAAGTGATGCAGAGAGCTAAGGCATTCACAGAAAGAGCTCAGACCGCACACAACTTTTGACAGTAGGCAGAGTGACAAAAGGTGGAATGCATCACAGGCCCTGGCCTTACACAGGCAGCAACAGGAGGCTGACCTCAGGGACACTGCATTTCAGCTAAATGGAGTTCCTGAGCTTCGGGGAAATCTTGCTCCCCCAAACAACGGTTGGGAATTCCTTGAACTATGGCTTTGACCATGTCTTTCTCCTCAATCAAGCTGTTCTCATTATACTAGCACCAGAGACACAAAAAGGTACAAGACAGCAGGACTTGATGAACTAGGGCAGGTTTCAGAGGTAAAGGACCCCATTGGCTTGGTGATGTCCCTTGGACACCAAATGACCTTGGGGATGTTTTTCCACTTTCTGCAGGGACTCAGTGGGCACTGGAGAAGGAGCTGCTCCCTCCCTCTCCACAGCTTACTGGAGATGAAGGTGTGAAGACTTTCAAGACTGCACTTTGGGGAATCTGCCTGCACTGGGCTCTGTCTACATGAGCATCCCCTGAGAGTGGAAGAGGGCAGAGCTAGCTAGTTCTCGGCTTGACTCCAAGTCATGCTGAGTAGAGAATGCTGTGTACAACACCCCCAAGGCCATGATGAGGGTTTCACCTTATAGCCCTTGACCTATCAGCCAGAGGCTAATGGTGACAGTGGAGCCTGGTAGACAGTACCCCAGACAGCCTTGCAGGCTCCATCAGACTGGTTGCTTGTATATACATGCAGTTTCTTGAGAAAATGAGAGTCAGGCTGCTGTGACCACGCTGACCCCCTGAGCTTAGGCCTGACCCTGGAGGATGTAAATCGGAAGCTGAAATCACTGTGCTGTTCAGCTCCACACCCACCAGCTGCCCTGCTGCAGGCACCAACCACGAAGTCTCACTGGGAGTTCGCTCTGGTCTTAATCTATTAAGGGCCAAGTGTGGGCTGGGCAAAGCCTGGAAGCTAAGTAGCTGAGAGCTGCATGGTGCAGCAGAGCCATCACCAGCTAGCAGGGTCTCTCAGCTACAGGTAGGTGAAAATCACCCCAGAGACAGATTGAGGGCCAGATGTTTACAGGTGCTATGGCCCACACATGTAATTACAGCATGCTGGGAAGTTGAGACAGGAAGACTGCAAGCTTAAACCTGCGTGGACAACTTAGTGACTTAGCAAGAACTTGTTTCAAATTAAAAAATAGTAAAGTAAGCTGCAGATACAGCTTAGTGTGAAGGCCATGTGTTCAATGCCCAGTGCTACCAAAGAAGAGTTTTTTATAGGAGAAAAAACATAGATACAACAGAGGTGGCTCCTCCACAGACAAACCAGTGCCTGCCCTAGCCACACTCAGAGTCACAGGGAAGAGAAGACACATCCTGTGTTTCTGGAGTCCCCTCTTGGGTTCCAGTGCACCCTGCTGCTCTCTTCTCCCCCGGAGGGCATCACATGCTCCTCCGTTGACTCTTTGCCTTGTCTCACCCGCTCATCATTCACGGTGCAGGTGCCTGCTCATTTCCTATTGGCAGCTCCATCAAAGTCCTTTTAGTGCTCCAACTCAGATACCTATGTTGACACTAGACTCAGTCTTCCTAGGTTCAAATCTATCTTCTGCAGCTCTTTTCCTATCTGGCTTTGAGCAAGTGACTTAACCTCCTTTAATGTCCGGTTGTTCCCCACCTCAAAGTGACCTGGGCTTTTGAAGTTCTCATGCTCTGCCAGGTGCTAAGGTCTTCATACCTTTGGTTCTTCACCCTTCAAATCCGAGTTCCTGCTGCAGGGTGGGCCAAGGGGTTGAACATAAAGTCTCGGTGTGCTGCACTGTGGTGAGTGGGAGCAACCAGGAGCCTTTCCAGGGACGAGGAAGAAATGGGTGGGCTACTGCAAAGAATACTCAGGTGAAACTGGGCCTGCCTTTTAGAAAAATGTGATCTCTGTGGCCAGTAAACTGTGCGGGGTGGCAGATGCTAATTTCGTTTTCTGGACTCGGTTCCTATTTATACTTCTGTACATTGTGTTGACCCAACTAATTCCCCTGTTGAACTGGAAGAAACATTTAGTAGTCTGAATTTCATCTTCTGTTCTCACGCCTGGAGTTTAGATCATAAGAATGCAATGATATATTCAAATCTACACTACTAGATCATTTCAGAATTAAGAAGTATTGAGTGGCACTGGTCAGCTTGCCTCCCACGACAGTGACACTGACTATCACTTACAGCGACAGACCCTGTCCACTACAGTGGTGCATCGTGAAATCTTAATCCACTAGGTGAGGCAGATTTTGATCTTTCTGATTCTCAGCCATGAAGAAATCAGGCCCAGATGAGTTAACAGTCAAACTGCTGCCAAACTGCAGAGCAATAAAGTGATTGAGCTACATTGAAGCCAGATTCGGTTGATCTCAAAGCCCACTCTCTTTCCACCAATCTCTGCTGAATGTTTCTTACAGATGTCTTTCATACGTGGCATGCGCATCTTCATGAAGCTGTTCCTTACCTTAAATCTGCAATCTGTGTTCTCAGCACCCCTCTAGCCTTGCAAATCCTTGATCTGCTCTGATTCTAAGGTACTTCTCTCCACAGACCCAAGGGCCCACAAGGGTATGGGATAGGACAGTTGAATTAAGAGTGAAAGGAAACCTTCTACCTTGTGTTTATTTCACTGCAAGGATCAAAGTTCAGGGGAGACATGGATAGCACCCCAAGAGGAGAAGCTGCGTAGAACAATGCCTGTCCCTATAGATACACTTTCTGGTAGTTTTGTTCTTCTAACACTGGCCAAGGATATAAGTAAAATTCCCTGCAAAAGACTAGGTGTCAGCCTTCAGACCCTTAAGCCAAATGTTAGAATGCAAAGTTGCCTCACTAAATTTAATATACACATAAAAACATCATTCTTGTGGAAATTCCACCGGAAATCTCTGTCACTGTGAAACCGAAAGTCTCTATCAACCCCTTTTCCTTCATTGGAACAATTGTTTTTATAATGATTTTGTTTTTGTTTTTATATCTTTCTATTAGTTTTTTTAACATGACAAAAGATGATTGCTCCTGTTCTCACTCTTGAGCCAATATCAAACCACAAACTAAGATCTGTCTCAAGGTTCTATTCTTGTCCCAGATAACAGCAAGTATCTCATCTCTGTGTTTCTACCCTTGTGTTTCAAAAAGGCCTCTGAGGGGGCTATAACCTTGTGGCCTGCCACAGATCGGTCCTTGGGCCTGGACTCCTTTAACAAAAAGCAACATAAAGGCCCTCGGTGATGGTGCAGTCCCACAGGGACTGCTCCACACAGCATTCAAGTTACCTGCCCAAAGCATCAGATAAAAGACAGGCTCTGTTCCGGGCTCAGAGCAAAAAAGCCACAAGTGCTTTGCTGTTGTGAAATTCACAGCAGCATCACCGCAGTGAACCAACACAGCCTGGGGCCGTTGCTTCAGAGGACCATCCCAGGGGCTGAGTGTGAATGTAGGTTGGCAGGTGAGCTGAGCCCTCCTGGTGAGGCCAGAGTTGATTAAGCAAGAAAAGAGACAGGACCAGGCCTGTGTGTCCAGGCAGGAGAACAGTCTATGCAGAGGCTCCGAGAACCCAGGAGTCTCAGAAAGGCCTGTCACCTCTAACTGACAGCTGAGTGGAGAAAGAGTCCTTGCAAGTCCAAAGAGAGTGGAGCAAGAAGAGTGGATTCACATCGTGAAGGCATTCCCAGTGGGTCCTTCTTCACACCAGAATGCCAGGTGTGTCTCCAGCCTGTTGGCAGCCTGCCTGCCATCCCAGTGCACATGCCAGGAAGCTGAGTGAGCTGCAGAGGTGGCCCTCCGCTGGCTCGATGCCCTGCTGATCACCTCATCTTGCATTTGCAGTTTCATAGCCTTTTTCCCTTCACATTTTCATAAAGTTCATGCCTCACCAAACCAGGGCCCACCCATTGTTAGAACCCAGGACTTGTGGCTTCACACCCAATATAGCTGTAGAGCTGTCTCTACCAGGGTGGGTCTGGGCTACCCAGAGAGAGAATTCTTGTTTTGAATTCAGCAAAGTAGGATGGGAGGGAGGTTCCCTTGAAGCCTCAGGGGAGTTCATAGCAGGAGAAGCGTTGTTTCTCAGCAGTCCTGCTCTGATTTCTCCCTGAGATTCATAAGGACACTAAAGGTCACTTGCCGTTCGTCTCACACTCAGGAACTCTTGCTTTTACAGTCGTTCATTGTCTGCAACTCAGTTTAGCCAAGAGCACGTTCGCGCACACTGTTTCTACCATGATGACTTGTTTCTGGCTCAGTCATCAGTTGATAACCTAAACTTCTGCCGAAAGTTTCACTCTTTTTTCTTACTCATTCCTCTGTTTAATGTCTCTTTTTGACGAGGCCTTTCCAAGAGATTTTGGAGTTAAGGAGGCAAGACATAGTGGTATAAGAAGTATGGGCTTGGGATCTCAGCAAAGGGACTCTGCACTTCAGAAAGTGGCCTGGTGGAGCTACCTTGCCAAATGCCTCTGTTCTGGAATTGTCCTCAACTCCCTATGGCAGTGGATAGAGATACGCACTCCTGTGATTGTGGGTTCTGATGCTGGGTTCCTGGCCCACACTCAGCAACTAATGCCAAGTGAGTGAATAAATGTGTTACCCAGAAGGGTGAGTGCAGAACTGCGCCAGTCAATAAAATGGTAATCATCACAACAAACCACTACTGTGCTTGACACTGTGTAAGATGTACCATTCCCCCAAATGTATTTTGATACTACTGTCTCTAGTGCATGCAAATGATGGCCAGTCACTAAGGCTGCAAAATAGATACTGCTTAAAATCAAAAGGGAAATTCATTGCCTTACCACTTTATGTCTACTGTAAGCTGTGCTCATGTAGACGTGAGAGCATCCTTTTCAATACTTCACCTATATAACTTTCAGTAAACATGCAGTGTAACCACCTCCATCCCCAACCGAAGTCCCTGTTAAGCAGATGCCAGGCAGGACACCCCATCCTATATAAGGAGGAAGCGCTGTGTTCTAGCTCAGAGTTGGTGCTTCTCGGTCATAAAGGACTGTGAGAACCCTTGAGTCTGTCTCCACATGCCACATATATGGGGACCACAGGCCCAAGACACATCACAGGGTTTCTGTAGTACTTCACCGTTCATAAGTCTACTCTGACCTCATCGTGGGGACACCCAGAATGAGCTATCAGCCAATTTTAAACATAGGGAGATGAATGCTGGTAAATTCAGGCCTGACTTTGTAGCCAAAGTGTGGGTTCAGCTCACAGGCTTCTCCTGTCCCCATTTCTCAGATGAGAGCATTGAGCCTCAGGGCCTGCCAGATCTGAGGACAAAAGTACTTCACTTGCCCTTGGGTCCCTCAGGCACCTATTCCCTTCTCTAGGGAGGGCAGGTCTGGGCATGCCACATCTCCCTGATGTACGGCATCCCCAGCAGAGGAGCCTCCGGCCTGCCTTTCTGCTCTTTGGGAACCAAAACATTCCTGTGCTTATTTCCTAGGGCTGGAGAGTGATTTCCTCGCGGTGCTGAGCGATTACCCTTCTCCTGACATCAGTCCCCCAATATTTCGCCAAGGGGAGAAATTACGTGTGATTTCTGAGTGAGTTAACTTTTAAAAACTTTTATGATCCTCAAGACAGGATGAACTCATTTGGAGTGTCATAATCATCATTTTTAGCCACAGTTTCCCAATTCCCCATGCACCCTGGTCCTACTACAAGGTGAGAAGTTTGGCTCACACTGTAATCTCCATCCCTGTTCACTGCCAGTGCTGTCAAGCCTCTCCCCATAGCCAGCTGGATAAAATTTAGATTTTTTTAACTTGCTTCTTCTGTTGGCCTGCCCACCCCCACTCCCACATGCAGTGAAAAGGTACACACCAGTGTGAGGAAGGGGGACCCAGGCTCTAAAAACACTTCTGAAAGTAAGCAAGTGATATCGCCTGCCTCTTCAGTCTGACTCCAGTCTACAAAACAAACCTGGGGCTCTATGGCTTTCTTATTTCCATCCTTACTGATATGGATATATAAAACTATCCAGGGTAAGAGTCAATCCAATAGATAATTAATTTTAAAAGCCTCCAAAAATGAACCAAAAGTTAAAAGCATCAGCTTCTGGACCCTGGAAACAGTTACTTCCTATGGGGAGGTGGGAAGATGAATATCTATGCTTTAAAAATGCAGTTTTCAAACATTGAGGTCAACATGGCCAATAGCAGATCTTAAAAAAGGAGGGTCCCAAGCCACCACAGGGTAGACCTCTTAGCTCTGCTCGTCTGTCATGTGCTGCGCCATTCACCTCTCTGGGTCCTATCTGTTCTGCCTAACAGTGAAGGTGACTGGTGGAAAGCCATTTCCCTCAGCAGCGGCAGAGAGAGTTACATCCCTGGCATCTACGTGGCCAGAGTGTACCATGGGTGAGTGCATTTCTCCAGGAGCCTCATTAAGCCGTGATCTCTGTGCTAGAACTAATGATGGAAGACAGATTCCAGCAGGGTGCAGTGGAAAGGAAGGTGCTGGGTGATGGGGCACCTTCACTTCTGCTCAGTCTATGGAGAATGGTGTGACATGGAGGAGTCCCTTCTGTTCTTTGGAACAGACTTCATGAGTGAAATGAAAGAGATTGGACCTTCCAGCTTGAACACTAGTATTCAGTGCTCAGCCACATTTGATGCTTAAGGACAATTATTATAAATGCAGTACACTGCAGTGGTTAATTGCCAGTTGGCTGGGGTTCAAATCCTGCCTCTCTTCTCACTGTCCATGTGACAGCGAACATACTACACACTTTCTGTGTCTTCACTTTTCTTACTTTGGTTGCCAAGTCAGGAGCACAAAATGGAATGACAGGGATAAAGAGACAGACATGATCAAAGTACAGGGCTATTGGAATTCTATAGCGTGATCCTCCCATGGGCATTTCAGGGAGCACCCTGGAAACAGTAGCTGTGGTCTTATAAGATCCACATCCTGAAGCACACAGAATGCTCACTCTAGAATGTTCCCAACGCCAACTCGACCAGCAGAGGAGGCAAGACAAGCTTGGCCAGGGAGAAGAGAAAGAGGAAGTAAAGCCCATATATGTATAAGCGTGAATAACTTCTTTCCACCAAAGGGCTTTGCTTGTCACCGGGTCATCTGGTGAAGCACCGAGAACCCCAGATGTTTGCCAGGTTGGGAAGCAGTACAGTATTTACTATCCTAATCAGGAGGACCAGGATCCATGTCTATGGTGTGGATGAAGACAGTGAACTTCATGGACTAGGTGTTGTCACATGGGTCACAGTCTCTCTACTGCGTCACGTCACTCTACTGTGTGAGGGGCTTCTCCTGGACCTGCGCATGCCTTTGGCGAACATTGCTAACATCTTGCTAAGAAGCCAGGAGCTGGAGGTCATGGGAACCCAGAACTCTGATGGCCTTATGTGGCAGCCACTCTAGTAGCTGCAGTGAGAGGCCTTCAAACACAGAGCTGGAGGAAAGGCAGTGAGGCGTAGTGGTTATGTGACCCTGAAGTTTTGCTCTCTCGATTGCTGACGTGGTAACTTAGCCAGCTTACTTAGTCACTTGGACCTTCAGGATGCCTGTCTATGAAATGGAGAAAGCCTTACCCACTTTAGAGAGTATTTGCGAGGGTGTGTTTCTAAGCGCTTGAGATTCTCCTTCACATGGCAGCAGAACCAGCATTCTCACATGGCTGCTGCTTTGTACTCTTTTCCTCTCTGCAAGGGGGATTTTACATAAAGACTTGAGTGCATAAATGTTTGCCACATACTCTAAAATAATTAAAATTCCATGAGTCGAACAGCACTAAGGGCCTAGGAGAAATATTCAGCCAGACACGGCACAATCCCGACCTAACAGCAGAAGTGATTATGGTGATGAGAACATAGGAAATGAGTGGAACCCAGTGCTGGGTTTGTGGGACTTCCTACACCTGTGGCTTCCGGTGCCTTCACCTATCTCCACCGTCCTGTCCAATGCCAAGGCCACCATTGGGGACAAGATATCAATATTCACTACAACCTACAGAGATTTGGAACTGTGGATGAAAAGCCACAACCCATTCGCTGAAATGCAGCATCTGTTAAAAAGCGATTTGCAGTTGCTTCTGAGCAGATGCCAGCTGCTTGCTAACAAAGTACTTCCTGCCAAGCTCCGAGCTGGCAGATCCTGATCTGAAAAACGAGTAGGGGCTCTTTCTCTTGGAACAGAGATCCCTTTAAGTCCAGTGAGGCTCCCCAAGAGCACTCGCAAGTGTTGCTTCCCCTTCCCAAGTGGATCTGCCATCAACAACTGCTTTTTTCTTTCTGCTTCCTGAAAAAAAGCAAGAAGCCCAAATGCATGCCTGGTAGAGTGACAAGTGTATTCAAATGTGCCAAACCTGAGAGGGCCAGAGGAAATCAGTGGAACCCAGCATGGGGCTTGTAGCCGTGGGCGAAATCACCAGTCGCCTTCCTCTCCTTCTTGTGTTCACTGATTCATCCAGAAACATCTATGAAGCACAGCACTCTGGATACCACAACTGAATCCAACAAGACAGAGGGTGGGGAAGGTGCCCTGGTAGGAGGAAAAGGCAGCTGACACTAGCCAAACTGTCGCATGGGTACACAGTGGCACTTTATAAGCACACACAGTACTGCACACAACAGAGGTACTTTCCATTGGGCATTTGAGAAACAAGCCAAAAAAGAGGGCTTCTGGGTCTTGTGTCATGGCCCCCAGCACCTCACACTTAACACTTGGGAAATTTATTTGAAAAATGCTAAACACAAAGGCAGGAATGAATGAACGGGTTCAAGCACTATATTCACGGTCACGTTCGTGGGGTCAGTGGATTGGCATTCGCAGGCTGCTCATGCTGTCTCCCTCCCTCCCAGGTGGCTGTTTGAAGGGCTGGGCAGAGACAAGGCTGAGGAGCTGCTGCAGCTGCCAGACACAAAGGTGGGCTCCTTCATGATCAGAGAGAGCGAGACCAAGAAAGGTGAGCAACCTACCCTCCCCCCTTGGCACAGCAGGCTCCCTTTGGCTGACTTGTGACCTGGCTCTATTTCTTCTCTTGCTTTATGCACACAGATGGGTCCTTGGCATCAGTTCCCTGTGACCCACGCCTGCCTGGGAACCCAGCATGACAGCAGTGGGATTAGAATAGGGCAGCAAGCTTGCCTGAGAATGGCTCCAGGTCCTATCCTTGACCATGGGTGGGCTCTGGTGGCTCCTGTTGGAGAATTTCCACCAATTGATATCAAAACCGAAAGCCAGGGGTATGGCATGCTGGACTAGGCCTGTCCTGTCTCCCTCGGATCTGTGGCTTCTCTGACTTGTTTTCTCATCCGTGAAGTGGAAAGGGGGGAGATCACACACCTGCCACAGCCTTCACCTACAGACTCCTGCATCATTGGAAACAGAAGTAGCAGGGTCCTCTCCATGGTTCAGAGCAATGGCCCAGTTTAGTTTCAGCCATGAATCACCAAACCATATCTCGGTGGCCTTATCTATGGCCTGGCTTTCATGATGTGAAGGTCTTTGGTACCACGCCTGGGACTGAGGGCTCAGTGACAGAAGCAAAGCACTTCCTAGCCAGGACCCTCCCTTACTTAAGTACTCATAGTGACAGCTACTTAAGCACAGGACACAGTTTTGACTTCTCAATAAGCTCCTTGTCCCACTGCTGTCAAAAACAAACAAACAAACAAACAAACCAGTATTTAAGAGCGTTCTTAAGGGCAGCCACTAAGTACCAGGGCTGCTTGCACTGGGGCTGTCACCAAAGCCCAGCTTGGCTATGTGGTTTTCAGAGCCCCAGGACAATTGTCTATGAAAGATGTAAATATGTTGAAGGAGCATGAGCTTAAAGCAGAGGACAAACACCGTGGACATGTGTCCCAAGGCCCTGAAGCAGGACACCAGACCCAGGCTGGTGGCATCTTGAAAGTGCATAGCTCTTCTAAAAATAAGTGCTCTGAGGCAGAGCTGCAGCGTTCAGGGTAAGCAGGAAGGTGCAGGCCTGGGTATGCAAAGCTCTGAAGATTTTCCACTTGCTGCATCTGACCCTCCAGTGTGCCTTATTTCCACCGGAGTGGTGAGAAGCACTCAGTGGTGGGTTTGGAGGACAGGCTCGAGCTGGCGAGGTTTGTGCTCAAGATGACGAGGGCTGTGTGAAGGAAGAAGGGGTCGCACTCAGACTACAGTCCCCAAGCTGGGTGCACAGGAGGCTTCAAGCATCTGTTTTTCCATCTGTAAGCTATCTGGGCACAATCCCCCCCAGGTCCTTTTGGGGAAGGGATGGAGAGGCTGTTGGAAGGGGCTGAGCCCCTGCCCAGCACAGACAGCACTCACTGGCTGGATCCAGCTTCTCTTCTCACCACCTCCTGGAACCTCCAGTGTGTGAGAGAGCGGCGGGGGGACCTTAAAACATGATTAAGTTTGAGTCTCTCTCTTTCCATTCAATAAGATCCAAACTAAAGGAAGGAATAGCACCTGCCTGGGGCCCTGAATGACCACCTGGTCAGTACTGATGATGCTGAGGGAAGGTGGCACTTCCCACAAGTTTCCTAGGAATGCCCAGAGCTGTGTCCTAGCTGTCACTTGCTCCACATTTCTGAGACAAGCAAGCTTAAATCAGAGGAAGGCAGACCTGGGAAGGGACCACAACCACGACCCTCCCTACAAAAGTACAATGTGGTGGCATAGGGGGTGACAGGAGTTGAAGGATAAAAACACCTTAATATACAGCCTTGGGAAGGATCTCAGAGCCTCAGAGCCTAATCCATAGGTTGTGGCTGAACGGTGATCACGTCATGTGGCCTCAGGCATCTCCTGCCTCGATTGACACCAGCACTCACTTCCAGAAAGCCAGAGGCCCAGGCCTTAGAGCAGCAGCGTGCCTGGTGCCCCTGCCACTCTAGGGCACACTGAGGGGAGGAGCAACATCTGAGCAGAGCAGGCTTATGTATGGGAGCGGCTGCTGCCAGACACTGGGGGCCGTGTCCTGTGTTCCTGTCGCACCTCAGCACACATACACCTGCTGCAGGCTACCCTTGGGCGGGGACCGTGCGTTCCATTCACCTGTCCCTTCCCGCCCTCCATGCAGGTTTCTATTCACTGTCGGTGAGACACAGGCAGGTGAAGCACTACCGCATCTTCCGCCTGCCCAACAACTGGTACTACATCTCACCCAGGCTCACCTTCCAGTGCCTGGAGGACCTGGTCAACCACTACTCTGGTAAGCTCCCCTCAGCTAGCACTGCACAGGCCAGGCACACAGTGCCACGCACCTAGCATGTGGCCCTGGGGGCACCAGTAAGGGTCTGTGGTGCTCTCTGTCCCTCCAGCTTCTCCACACATGCAGGGTAATCTCAGCTGACACTGACTGCTTGTGAGTTCCACCATGGGAAACAATGGTCCCTCGTTTCATATGCACCCCCTCTCTGCAAATCAAACTAACCAGGACATCTCTCCACTTATAGCCAGGGACAGTGTGTACCCTATAAGTGGGTCCTTGGGTTCTGGGTCTCTGGGGCTTTGTTCTGAAATGCCACTCACTTTCTCTTTTTTGCTTGTTGAAATCTTCTTCAGCCCTCAAGGTCAGTATCAGCCCTCGAAGATAGAGGCACAGGATTTAGAGTTAGTTGTCCCCCTTCTTTGTCCCCAGAGCATACCAGTTCTCTCCCTGACCCTCTTCCACACCCCTGCGCGGTCTAGTCAATTTGTCTTAGTCTGCGCTTCCCAACAAGCACCCCGTGATGAGGGAGCACGTGTGAGTCACTCACATAGCCTTCATGCACTCAGCAGAGGTTCGGATTCCCCAGGCTGCCCAGGAAGGGAGCATCCTGCACCCTGGCAGATGTAGGGTGCAGTTTCCATGGAGCAATATGCATGGTCAGGAGAGAGATACTGTGGGAGTCCTGTATGCCAGCCAGCTAAGAGCTGGAATTTTGCCCTATAAACAAGGGAGAAATTAGAAAGAGGCAACTAAATCTCCACCCACTGGCTCTGGCACCTCTGTGCTTTTTCCCTGCTCACTGGAGACTAGGCATTCTGGGCTGGGCATTGACCTGTCGGACCCTCGCTTTCTTCTGGGCAACTATTTTACCCTACCTACAAGGGATGAGCCGGGAAGGTGCTGAGAAGGAGGCTGGCCCTTGACCCTCAGTGCTTCCTGCAGAGATGCCCCATCTCCCCTCCTGCTCTGCCCACCAGAGAGGGAAAGAGGTTGTTCTCATTCTCCTAGCCTCTTCCCCCTTCAGGTCAGGATGTCTGACCCTGCACCCTTGGGTACCTCACTATGATTCATCAGGATTAGGGGTCTTGAATTGAAGATATGAGGGGAATTTCAAGGAGAAAGGAGCCCCCACAGCCTTCAGTGACACCTGTGACCTGTGAGAAGCAGCAGGTGACAAAGGAGCAATGGCAGCAAGGAGAAGCAGCCAAGCTCAGACCTAGGCTGTGAGAACCTTGGGCGAGTCCTCCCCTCTCAGAACCCTGGGTTCTTATTCCCAAGGTCGTGGGAACAGTCCCTGAGCAGGGGGCTGCACGCTAATTAGACAGTCATTCAGACACCAAGTCCAGCGAGCCTAACACACGGCAGATATGAAGATGAATGATAACAAATGTAACTTCTGAGACACCCGAAAACCTAGCTGCTAACTAAAAATGAAAGAGGAAGGGAGTCCTGGAAACAGCCGCCTTTGGCTGGGGACGAGAAAAAGTTTGTGGTATTTGGCTCTTAATAACAATCATCGAGGAGTGTGCAGACCAGAAGTTTTGCATAGACATAGAAAACATGACATGGGAGTCACCCGGCAGAGCTGTCACAGACCAGAGGCCAGGAGACTGCAAGTCCTGAGACACTGGATTGGGCTGCAGGGCTCTGGGAGGACCTGATCTCAGGGCAGAACCAGTGGCTTTCAGAGAGATCTCCTGGGCAAGCACCTGCCTCTGCAGATAACCAGAAAGGGTCCTCTCACCACACCACAGCCAGGGCGCCACACTGTCAGGTCTCAGGCCAGTGACACTGCACTGCCGGGGCACTGATCGCTGTTTGGTTTCCCCCAACAGAGGTGGCTGATGGCCTGTGCTGCGTGCTCACCACGCCCTGCCTGGCACAGAGCCTGCCCTCCCCTGCGGCACGGGCCCCCAGCTCACCTGTTGTCACCTTGCGCCAGAAGACCTTCGACTGGAAGAGGGCATCCAGGTGGGTGTGTGTATCCTCCAAGGATGCGCAGGCAGGAGCAGTGCATCACACAGACATGAGGGCCCTGCTCTACACTGCTGTGTCTGTTTATTCACTGTCATCTATTAGACTCTCAGGAATATATCTACAGGGTGTGACGGGTACTCTTCTTATTAATTGAACATGGATCCAGCTATCCCATTGCCAATTCAAAAGAAATCAGGAATAGAACTTCTTGCAGGATGACTGAAACTGTTCTCCCTTGTAAATATCATAAAGAAATATGCTAGGTTTACAGTTAGAAGTTTTAGCCATTGGAGAAAATAGAGATTCAGAGAAGTTAAGTGATTTGTCCAAGATCACACAACCCACAGATGTAAAGAACCAGAATTAGAACGATAATTTAAAGGAAGACTCATCAGGGGTTTGGTTATTTTTCCTCCTTCTCCTTCTCCCTCTCCCTGTCTCCTTACCCCTTCTTTCCCCCTCCTCCTCCCCTTCTCCCCCTCCCTCTCTCCCTTCCCCTTCCCCTTCTTCTTCTCTGCATCCCTGCCCCATGTCCTTCTCTTTTTCCCTTCCTCTGTCTCCTACTCTTCTGACTCACAGACTCCAGGACAACCCGCAGGGTGCAGGGAACCCGCTTGGCGTGGATGAATCCCTTTTCAGCTACGGCCTTCGGGAAAGCATCGCCTCCTACCTGTCCCTGACCGGGGATGATGCCAGCCCCTTCGACCGGAAGAAGAAGAGCGTCTCCCTGATATACAGCGGGAGCAGGCGCAAGAGCTCGCTCTTCTCCGCATCACAGTACTTTGAAGATTAGCCCAAGCACAGGACAGCAGTGTCACTGGGGGTCTTGCAAAAGGTGGGGTGCTCTGATCCCTGGGCATCTCATGCCTTCTAGAAGCCAGGAGAAGCTATGTGGAGACTCCGCTAACATCTTCTCTACTCACATCGTGACCAAAGAACCCTGCTTGGCATCTTATCAGTACTGTGAAAACTTGACAGACTGGAAGGTGACACAAGGGGGCATTGCTTCAGAGAGCCCAGCATGTGACCATGTGCACAGCACGTGTGGGAGGGCGAAGGACATGCTCAAAGGAAAGCCCTTTCCAACTCAAGGTCCAGACACCCTGCTGAGTCCTCCGGGAGGGCTTTGAACTGAGCAACCCTGGGAAGAAGACCCACCCAAGGTAGTGGCCCTCTGACACAGGGCTGCTTTCACTGGTCTCTGAAGACCTTTGGGACACCCTGCACCATCTCTCCTTCCAAGGGACCCCCTACACTACACACTAGCTTGAAGGTCTTAGCAGCTTCCAGAAGGAGCCTTTGATAGTCTCGTGTGCCAATGCCATGCGGGCAGCATTCGTCCAGTCTCCCTGACTCCTACCGGGGCTCAAGCTTGGGAGAGGAGACTGCTGACTGAGAAGACACAGGTAGCTGGGACTGTGCAAGTTTCCAGAGTGGCCCCAGTCAGAGCCACAGAGCAGGTAGGGCACATCCGCTGCTGGGATGCTTGGTTGTAGGAGAGCACCTGTTATTTGATTCCTTTTTGATATTCTAGAGAGATGCTTGGCTACATTCTATGTAAGAATCAGACCAAGGAAAAAAAGGAAGAAAGAAAAGAAACATCAACCCTCAACAGAGGTTATACAGTACAGATAAACATATAAGCAGATGGTTCAAAAGTGAGTGTGAAGGAAGAAATTACATGACCAAAGAAGGAGTAGGAGGTATGTGAGGGGACCCTGGATCTATAAGGAGTCTAGGATCGAGTAGGTAAGAATGGCTAACGTAGGATACTTAATTCTAGGCAGAATCTGGCTTACACAGGAATAAAGAATGCCAAGCTCCAGGAAAAAGGGAGGAGCCTTCATGGCTGAATTTTGCTGTGTGTTTGTGTAACCGTAAGAGATGAGGGCAAGAACGTGGGCCAGGAGAAGCATGGTCCAGGCTGAGAAGGGAGCGGCTTCAGACGAACCATGACTCATTCCTCCCTGCTTCAGGGGGGTGCTGGGGAAGAGGGGTGCACACATATGTTATGCTGCATCTGCTTGCCACGCACATTCCTTGGCCCTGAGCTCACACAGCTAGTGGTATATCCGTATATGTCCACATGGTTTCCCGGACCATTTAACTCCAGGCTGTTTACACAAGGAGCCATGTGAGATTCCTCAGAAACCCCTAGACTGCTTCAGAAGGACCAGCCAGAGCATGAGGAATGACCTTAGCAGGAGACAGCAGCTTCAGTGTCGGATGGGGCACTCTCTGGGCTGTGATGCCTGACCAGTGCCTTCTGCATTGTTTCCTGTGTGGTCACTGTGACTGGAAGCTTTGGAGAGCCCTGGATTCAAGGGGTTGTAAGTGGGAAGCATTACATGTCTTTGCTCAATCATGTATTTATTCCTGATTAAAGTAAACCTAATAAATATTTAACCCTTGGAATGGGGGAGCCTCTGGATTGAGGCAAATGGAAAGTTCCTCCTGCAGCATTGTGGGTTTGGGGCTTTCAAGGGAGCAAGCAAGGGTGGGACACAAGCAGAACTGCAGGACAAACTGCACAGGTGGCAGCATGGCGGCTTGCCCTGGGGCGGTCTGCTGAGTTTCAAGCAAGTATGTCTTGTGTCTTACACCAGAAGGCAAGGTAGAGAGGGGGCTGAGGGACCAAATTCTTGGCCATCATTATGAAAACTCTACATCTGCACATTTCTTGTCATATCTGAGCTGCCTGTACTTCCCAGAATTTCTTCTTACAAGATTTCTTAGATACCTATAGGTTGCATGTTGCCCTAGGTGCAGGTCTGGAGCACTGAAACCAGATGGGACTTCTGAGATCATCGAGGTTGGTGCCATAAACAAATGGGACACTTTGCAACCGTGAAGAGTAACGAGTGCAGAAATGAGCAGGTTCCATGTGACCCCAGACAGGTGGGGGATACTAGGTAGATGCTGAGACCTAAAAGAGGACCTGAGGAGATTTCAAAGGCAACAGAGGCAGTGGAGAACACAGGTCAATTCCTGCAGGTACTGAGGGCTGGACAGGGCAACGAGGCCTGAACTTCTGGGATGAGAGGATGCCCTCAGGAGGGAGGCCAGGGAAGGCATAGAGCCATGGAGAAAAGGGGACACAGGAGCTATTCTAGGAAACACAGGAGGCCATAGCGGGAGCTAAGTAGAAGGGAAGTAACAGTAATGGTGCATTAATGAGTATGAAAAGCCCTTGGCTGCTGGGCGGAGGATATATTTCTAAAATCCAGCCATTGCATTTTCTACTTGACATATAGCTAAAACAAAAGGATGTGGGGAGTTTGGAAACAAATTTGTGGAGAATTTTTTCATGGAAAAAATGAGGAAAAGAAAATCTTGCACTGCATGTTGAAGAAAAATGTGATTTAATGTGAAAATAAGTTCTCTAAAGGCAAACAGAAATGCTACAAAGAGCATTCTGTTGAGAAGGTAAGATGCTTACAGCCTATGCTAAACAAATCATGCACTTCCAGAGTATATTGTGCAACTATAATAAGATCAAATGGATAAATTGGTAACTTCCTGTGGAGATTTTAATATATAATTCCTAGAAATTGCTAAGCAAGGATAGGTAAATAAATAGAGAGGTATATAGGTTTTGGTAACATTGCAAAATTTTTTCTCCCAGTAAATGGGATCTCATTAAGCTGCAGAGGAAGCCATGATGGATGTCAAGAGATCACAGACTCTCATCCATACTCCAGGACCCTAAGGCAGCACAAGGGAAAAATTTGTAAGACAATGTATAAAGACTCACCGAGTTTAGATTCTTTAAAAAAGTTCTTCCAATTAAGAAAATAACATAGGCATAAGGAAATACTTAGAAATACATGACATATTTTTACTTTTCAAAATTTCTGGGTCTGATAAAATAGTAGAATTTTATTGTCTGAAACAAAATGCAGTGATCAGAAAAGAATGAGAACTGACAATGACATCAGCCTCCAATTTACAGACTCAACATCACCTAAGTGAGGAGACAGGAGAAAGATGATAGTGATAATGATTTAGAATTTTAAATCATACCACAGAGAATATTGCCTAAGTAGTAAGATTAACGTGACAGCTAAAGACACGAACAGGATGATGACAAAAGAGAGGAGGAGAACAAAAGCAAACAGGAGGCAGCTCTTCTAGTACAGAGTCTGCAGGAGGGTGTGAGCCCTCTGCAGTGGCCCTGGGCCCGTAGGGGTGGCCTTCCAGCCTGTCTGCCACCTCCCTGCTGTCTCGACCCCTGCCCACTGCAGCCCAGGGGCAGCCCTATAAATGAGGCCGGTGACCCAAGTGGCCTCCAGTTAAGGCCTAAGAGAAACCAGGGTCCTGGCTGATAAGAAGACATCTGGACTGCTCCCCTCAATAAATGCTGTGAGAAAGAGAAAGGAAGAAAAGGGCTTTCACTTTTGAAGGCGTAGGGGGTTGGCTTTCCCAACTGCAGCAGCTAGCCCTTTTGCAGCAGTGGGTAGGGAAAGGAACCTGCCATCCCCTACAGCCGATGCAGTGAGTTCACAGCACACTCACAGAAACAATCAGCATAGCATTTGAGTGTTCAGAGAACTGTCTCAGTGAACTGCCACGTCAGTGTATTCCCATGCACCAGCATTTACAGAATACACCCTAGAAAATGACACCAGGACAATGCCTCCAAACCGTGGCACACGGAGGATCCTGATTCACAACCATGATACAAAACTTCCCTAGAAAAATATTTTAAATTCTGAAAAGACCTCCGGAAATAAAAATGTTATGTTCATGTGTCTACTGTTAACCTCATTCAAGGAGGCAAGTCTGCACATTGGAAAAGTATACATTTTTCCCTAAAATTAATAGATAAATTCCACGAGACAATGCTCAGTCCCCACAAGGAATATTAAAACAGTATACCTCTCAGTAAATCTATTCTAAAAGATGCATGGGAGCATCAAATCCCATGGCCAGCTGGGCCAGCTTTGCATAGGGTCAGCCCAGGGAGGGGCTCATGCTGTGGGCTTCATAGCTAACAGGCAACAGACAGTGCATCAGCACAGATCCCCTGGTCTCCCCGCTCTCTTCCCACCACTGCACGGAGCTCAGCCGTGCAGCCCCGCAGTGGGTGCTGGGCCCTTCCTGGGTGGCAGAGGCTGTGCTAAGTGTGCAGGAGGTGCTAAGAGAATTATGCTCATGTAGGGATCACATATCCAGCCGAGGCAGAACTAGAATCAGGTATGTTAGAACAATAACAAATGTAAAATAGGGCAGAATTCCTAAAACCCTCAACACAGAAGTCTGCCTCTTAAGGTGGGATTCCTGCTGGTCTGAGAGCCTGGGACAAGTTTGGAGCCCTAGTTTTAGTTGAGCCCTGAAACATGGAGCAATCTTAGCCCCAGCACTGGACATGCTGACCACAAAACAGGCCTGAAAGGAGAGATAGCATTTCCTGGCATGGTATTAGCCAAGGTCTCACTGGGGCCCCCTAGAAAGTGCTTGTAAAAGTGGGATTTTTCTTGGGTGTTCTTTGACAGGTCACTTAACCTCTCTGAACTTCCAAAACCTTGTCACTAGATTGAAGACCCATGCCTCTCATTAGGAATAACCCAAGATACTGAAAGTGCTTTGCAGCCTCAAATGTGTCAAGTGAATATAGACTATTGATTATCTCCATCGCCATTTCTCTTGATTGATGTTTCACCAATTCTGACCTCAGGATTTGCAGACAACAAAAAAATTACCAACTTGCATTAATTCCCCAAACATCTATTGGTAAAGAACATATTAGAGAACTGCTAACACCCTGAAGCATTTTAGTTTCTCAATTCCAAATAATTTCACATGCATACCGAGGACTTCTGGGAGCAGTTGTAAAATCTGCTTCCAAGTGAGTAAAGCAGATGGAGGGTTTATTTTTAATACACTGCCATTTGTTAAAACAGATTAGTTTCTGAAATTTCCCAGACACCTAAGTCTTCAAAAAGAAAATCTGCCTTGTGAGCCTACTGGAAGGTATGCAGGCATCATCTAGGGCCTTAATGAGAAGCTGACTGCTGATTGAATGTAGGAGGAATCTTCTAGGATCAACTTTGGGCAAAAAGTTCTGCTTTTAATGCCAGGTGCTACAAGATGTTTGTGCTCAACTCTCCCACCATTGGTGTGGACCAGGATGAGGAAGAAAAATCAAAATTAAAGAATAAGAAAGGGGTGACTTACAAGAAGGGGTCTAGATTAGCCTGTGGGTCCCTGGTTCTCTGGAACACCATCGAGACTCTTACCCATCACTGCTTACTCCTGACCCTGTATACTGTGAAGCATTTGCTTACTGTGAGACATATTGTGTGGTTTCCTGGAGCCCTGTGGAGAGCAAGGCACTCTCCTCCCTACTGTCTTGGGGATTTGTCCTGAGAGGGAGGCCAACTTGACACTAGGAACAGTTAGTGACTGATAAAAATTGTGATGCATGTGGCACAGGAGAGGTTTGGGCAGCACAAGTCAGCTGAGAAGTCTACAAGGCTCTCCTGAACGACAGATTGACAGTCAAGGAGAAAGACAAGGAGAAAGGGCTTGCCAAGGAAACTTCCTAGATGAGATGGAGTACAGAATGAATCCAAGGCTCCTGGAGCCGAAGGGGGTGGAGTGGCAGGTGGCTCTGCTTTCTGCTGGCAACGGCGACAAAACAAGTCTAGCATCAATTATGGCAAAACAGTGAACCTTCATCTTCCCTCCTTCACTCAAGGCTCTGGATCCCAGGAAAGCCAGGCAAGGCTGGGGTGTGGCGGCATGACCTGAGAACTGCTGCAGGCCACTGAGGGGTGTGGCCTGTGGTTTTGGTCTCAATGGTTCCCTATGTCCCTTGTCTGGGGATACTGCACTGCATCCCTATGGCTTTCGTTACCTCCTACATTGCCCTCTGAAAATCATTCTATACCCAGAGCTCAGGGAGGTATTCCTAACAACAAGCCTTAAAGCATTCTTCTCACTGGCTTAAAAGGTCTTTGATGATACTCAAGTTCATAACAGCACTATTCAAGATAGCCAGGCCAGGAGCACAGCCCAGAGGTCCATTGCAGACGAGTAACAGATAAACAGGACACAGTCTCTCCACACCATGGAATGGCCCTCAGCCTTCAAGTGGAAGGAGTTTTCAACATGCTACACTCCAGAAGAACTTTGAAGACCTTTTACTAAGAGAAATAAGCCAGATGCAAAAGGGTGAACCTTGCATGATTCCCCCTAGAAAAGCCAAATTCACAGAGATGGAAAGCAACATCAAAGCTTCCAGGAGCTGAGGGAATAAAGAGACCGAGAACTAATTCTTTAGTAACCACAGAACTGCTGTTTGGGATAATAAAAAGTGTTCTGGTAATGGGTAGCGGTGATGGTTACACTACACAGGGAAGGTACAGAATGGCAGGGAGCAGATTTTTAAAAATGAGTAAAAATCATAAAATGAAACAAACAAAATCCTTTGATAGTTCCCCATTCCCCCTGGGTTGAGCCTAAGCTGCTCAGGGTGTTGTAGCTCCTATCTGCCTTTACTGTTGCCCACCAGGCCTTGGCCCGCCACACTGTCCTGTGGCCAGTGCTCTGCCGGGAGCTAATGCCCACACAGCCTGCAGCTCTGAGCTCAGAAGTCCCTTCCAGGGCACTTCCCTTCACACTTGTCCTCCTCCTGAGGCCTTTCTTTGAGCTGCCATAAGATGCTCTTTTAAATACGGTTTCTGCTTCAGCATCTGTACCCCTGCTCATGTGACTACAGGCCTTGTGTGGACTGGGCGTGCATTATTCACCCTGGAATTTGTAGTGTCTAGAAAGTACCCCTGACAAATCAGATGCTTGGTGAAGCTCAGAGCTAGTTAATGACAGAACAACAGATGCAAGGGCTTATGTTCAGCCAACCAAGCTGTCTCTGATCACAGTTGCTGTCACTATCAATATCATGGTCTCATCATTACCATCTCCACCACCATCATCACCTCCATCCATCATCATCCAGTAGGAACTTCTAACCACTGGGAAGAATCTGGATTCATGAGTTCTGTTCTTGGCCTCTGCTCACTGACTAGGGCATCAGACCCTAGTGAGGCTGTCTCAGGATGCAGGGACCCTTTTCCGTCCAGTACTTCTAGCACCATGTACAGGGGTATACAGAGCAGTCAGAGGAGCCCCTTAGGATCCTGCAACCACAGGTATCTGGACAGAGAACCACCGTAGGACCTACACTTGCCACAAAGGATAAGAGACGAGCAGTTGAAACCAACTGGTGTCCAAAGGCAGGGAGAGTGCTAGAGCACCAAATGACAGCAGTGCATGGGACTCACCATCAGCAGAACCCTCCGGAAGAGCCGAGGGCCAGCGGCTCTGGTTGTAAGAAGGTGGATGCTGGCCACGTCCGCACCAGCTCGGTCGGCGGCCAAGGAAACTTGCCGAGGGTCCCCGCCAAATGCGCCAATGTGGATCTGCACCCAGGTCAGAGCTGCCACTTGGTCCAGCAGTCCCCAGTTGCCGGTCACCTCACTGGACCCTGGTGAAAAAAGGAAAGTGATTTATCAGTTTTGATTTTGCGGCTTTAAATTGGGCCATCATAGTGCTGCCTATACCAGGCACATGGCTCCTCCACAGGCCCTGGGTGTGCTTGTTCCTTACATCAGCACAGAGGGCTCCAAACACACTGAGGGAAAGCCAGGAAGACCAGGGGCTTTAGCATCAGACACAGCCTGGCCTGCACTCTTAAATCTAGCCTTTGCTGGCTGCCGGAAGATGCCATAACGCTGTCAGGCTTGCTCAGCTACAGCTTCCCTATTTGTGAGGGGCAAGGGCCTTCCTAGGTTGCTGCTTAGGTCAGAGGCAGTGTGTGCTGAGTTCCACCACCCTGCTGGCCGGCCAGATAGGAGGAACTCGCCATGCTCAGGCTCAGACATATGCAGGCTCAGACCTCCAACGTCGGCCAGGCCAGGCTGGGGTGCAACCCAGGTCCTCCACTGCCTCAGCCTCGGGCTTTGAACATTAATATTTTTTTCTTTTTTTATAGAATTAATAAAATTCTGTTGAATATCCTGTTTTCTAAAAACAAAATGATTCAGACAGAATGTAATTATTCAGATACACAATATAAGTTTTTATATTTAGGATGTAATTATTATGTATCTCAAATGTGTAGTAACAAACTATGCGCTGATAAACCATTAAGAATTCAAAGCCCCTGAAACTCTACCTCAGTCCCTGGCCACTGCCCTTTCATGTCTGTCTCTTAAGAATCTGACCATTCTAGGTACCTCATGTAAGTGGAAGCACATAGTAACAGATGTGTGTGTGTGTGCATGCGCATGTGTGTATGCATGTGAGTCCTGTTTAACTTATATGATGTCCTTAAGGTTCACAGAAGCACAGCACAGCATGGATATGAATTTTCTTTCCTTCTAAGGTTGAATAATACCTCATGTGTGCATGTGACACATTTTGCTCATTCAGTCCTACACTGGTATCTCCGCGGCCCACTTCCAGCTGTTGGTTACTGGCTGATAAATGATGCAGGGAACAGTGGTGACGTGGCCATGAGCCAACACAGTTCACTTATGGGCGGGGGAGTTTCATTTTATTTTCTTTAAAAAATGGCCAAAATATTACTCAGAATACCAGTCATAAAGAAAAAGACTGATGCAAAAAAGAAACCAACCAATAATAGCACAAAAGTTTCATTTCAACGAACTAAGAGAAAATAGTAATATAAGTGAAACAAATTAACATATATATTGAAATATTTTTGAAAGAACTGAATAGAGGATTTGGAATATTATTTCCATTTTTCTCTACTTCTCTATTATTTTGCTCTTATATATGTATATATGTATGTATTTTGAGCTTCTCATATAAGAGAAACCATATAATTTTTTAGCTATGTGTCTGATTTATTTCACTTAACATTATGTTCTCCAGTTGTATGTCTTTGCCTACAAATGCCTAAAGTTTATCTTTCTTTGCGGCAAAGTAGTATTTACATTGCACGTAAGTACCACATTTTTAAAATGTATTGTTCTGTCAATGGACAGATGCACTGTTGCCAAGATTGATCTTTTACAAATCGTGCTGCTATAAACATTGTTACATGATATCTTTACTTCTTTTTGGAAAATACCTACAAGGGGAATAGCTGGGTCAAATGGAGTTTCCATCTTTAGATTTTTGAGAAAACTCCCCGCTGATATGTATAGCATTTGCACTAGTTTACATTTTCCGCAACAGTGCAGAAGAGTTCCTTTTCCCACATCCTCACCAGCATTTGTTAGTTTTAGACTTTTTTGAAGACACTGATTCTTTGTGGGTTAAGATAGTAGCTCAATGTATTTTTTTCTGCATTTCTCTTATGGCCAGCAATATTTAACTTGTGTGTGTGTACTTATTGACATTGTTTTTCTTCTGAGACGTGTCTATTCTTTTCAGTTGCCTGTTTTTGATTGGTTCTTTTATGTTGGGGAGTTCTAATTTTTTTTTGTTCTTTATATTCTGGATGCCTAGACTCATGTATCTCTAACCTAAATAAAGTAAAAATGGATCAAAGATCTAAATGTTAAAAAAGAAACCATCTGCTGAATGATAAAATAGATAAAACTCTTGAAGACATGGGAGCAGGCAAAGACTTTCTGAGCAGAGAACTCTAGTGACATGAGAAATAACACCAAGAATCAACAAATAGATTGTATCAAATTTAAAAGCAGCACATTAAAGGAAACAATCAACAGAGTGAAGAGACAACCTACAAAATGGGAAAAAAAATTTGCCAGCTATTCCTCAGGCCGAGGACTAATATTTAGTGTACTTATCTTTAAAGTGGAAGTGAAAGCAACACTTAGCTTGTGGGGGGTTTGTAGAGAGGCCAATTAGTTAAAACGACTTTAACACAGGGCTGCTTGATGCAATCACCTAACGGATGTTAGTTATTTTTATTGGATCTACGTAGTAAGGATTGAAGTAGGCTTGGAGTAGAAGCATGGGGACAGTACGTGGTCCTGGTGCATGCGGGTGTACGACTAATGGACGTCATCCAAAAAGAGAAAGAAGTGATACAAATATAGTGAACACATGCACTTCTCCTTGGCTTTTTGGAACATTCCTTCCCACCACCTTCCCGAATATTCTGTGAATTCAGTGCATCTTCCCTGTAGATATGCGCCATAAACTTGCTCTACGCTAGCAAAGGTTGGAAACCCAGGTCCCACTATGGCCTCATCTGAGGCTCACACCTTCTTTGACGCTGCCCTCAGAGATGTCTGCAGACCCCATGGCTCCATCACCGCTACATGTGATGACTCACCTGTAGGGCAGCATCCCAGAGCACTCCCTGAGGTCCAGGCCCTGCAGAGAGCTCCACAAACTGCCACAGCTATTACAAATAGGCTTCAGCACTGAGCAAGAAACTACTAGTGAAACTCTGTTTCCAAATAGTATGGGAAGACAGAAAAATCTTGCATGGCAATTGCACAACTTCTGTATTCAAGAAGCTGAAGAAAACACTAGCTCAGAGTTCCTAACCGTACCAATTGCTCTTCCAGCTGGAGAGACTTTCAGAATTTCTTCAAATGCTTTTTATGATCTGAGCCTGGTGAAGCCACTGTCTGACACGATCCTCACCACAAGTTTTTCTGGATTGTCTCTGTGTTCCATTTGTCAGGACAAAAATGTTTCTTCCACCAACGTGTCAGACAACTCAGGAGATCAGGGTGCCAGCTGAGTAAGACCAGCAGTTACAAGTCTGGAAAGGGAAATTTGTGGCCCACACTGCCAGTAACAAAGGCAAGTGGAGACTGTCCCTGACACCCATTTCCTGTATATCAACTTCCCACTATGTTATAAGAGATTGCTGATGACATTCTGAGATCCACAACCTTCTGGGAGGTCAGAGTGGGGTTATCCAAGAGGACGCTTGTCCAACAAGGATGGAAGGGGCTTGCCCTGTGGCCAGGCACTGCTGAGAGCCAGAGAGACAGGCTCGCAGCCCCAGGCACCAGCCTAGACGCATACAGGAGGTTAAGTAAGGAATAGTACTGATGTAAATCTTCTGCTCCATGCTTTCCTTTACTGGGGAGGACACAGAACCTTGTGAGTGACTTTGTTTAGATGTGAGGAATGAATGTGAGATCAAGCTGGAACCCAAATCCTAAATCACAACCAAAACTGTCCGTACTTTCAATCAAATTAGACAAATATTTCTTTTAAAATGTATGATGTTTAAAGAAATAAGTTCCCTACTGATGGAACTAGAGGTCTCTGCTCGCACAACTTTGGTGACAGCCTCATTGCTGCTACGTCAAGTGTGGATTTCTCTGGCTCTTCAACCCTTCCAGGACATGCACGCAACCCTCCCAGGAGTCTGGCTCCCAGTACAGTACAGCCCAGGATCACTCAGCTCAGCCACACTGCTTCCCGAGGTCTGTGGGTAGCTGAGCCTAGATCTCCTTGTCTTCTTTTCAGGGCCCTGCTCCAAGCTTGGCTCACTCAGTCTCTCTCTCGATCTCTCTCTCTCTCTCTCTCTCTCTCTTTCTCTCTCTCTCTCTCTCTCTCTCTCTCTCTCTCTCTCTCTCTCTCTCTCTCTCTCTCTCTCTCTCTCTCTCTCTCTCTCTCTATCTCTCTCTCTTTCTCACACATACACACACACATACACACACACACATACACACACACACACACACACACACACACACACACACACACACACTAAAGCCTGCTAAAGCCCAGGAAGGACCAGAGAGGACTGACTGGGCTGGTTGAGCATTCCTGCCATTAGGGAAACAGATGCAAACAGGGTTTTATGGACATTGCATTATCTGTGTTATCACTGCTCCTGGTCCATCTGCCCTGTTTGCCCTGCACCTCCATCTTCCTGCTGGTCTGGGAGGAACCACCCAGCATGCAGACCCTTGTTCCCTCACTGTCTGCCTGGCACATTTTTAGCAATGGACAAACACCCCTTAGCAGGACCAGTCTTGCCAATAAGTGGGCATTAAAAAGGTGGTGGGGCACGGGGCTAGTGACAGTTCTGACTCCGCTGCTCATTAGCCTGGGGCCCTGGGCAAGCTCATCTGCATCTGAGCACCAATTCTCTCCATTTATAAATGTCATAGTAGTAACTGCCTCCATTGGTTGTTCTGGTGATTAAATGAGTGAATATTTATAAAGGCAACAGAATTGTGCCTGACAGGAGGCATCCAGGAGGAGTAAAGGAAAAGAGTTCAGGCCACAGTATTACTCCCCAACACCTTTAGCCAAGCCTGTCTTGTCTGAAAGAGCTCCTGTGACAGGTGCCTTCCAGTCCAGACTCTGCCTGCTTTTCAGTTTAGAAAGGAAGACAGCAGACCCCTCAGGAGGCCCTGTGTGCCCAGGGACAGTGAGGTCATAGCAATGTGCGGTGACTGAGGGCGGCCTGGCTGGCCTTCTGTCTGGCCAAACCACACTTCCTCTGCTCCCACAGCCCGAGGAAGGCTAGCAGACTTGTTATCCCCTCTCCTCCTCTGCCCCAGCACCCACTCACTGCTCTCAATCCCCTCACTGTTGCTTGTGGCCCAGTGACTACTGCCTCATCTGCAGGGCCTGGGCAGAGGAAATAGCCTCCTCCAGCCCCTCACTTTCTTTCTGGCTTCTCATCTCCATAGCAACCAAGCCCCCTTTTTACACGGGGCGTGGCTCATCTGACTTCCATGGAGAGTACATGTTAGTCTATTGGCCTCCGCCCTGGCAGGTCCTTTGCTTCCCCCCTTTCCTCTGCATCTCCTCAAATGTGCCTCTTTTTGTATGTGGGGCTCCCAGGGGACCATCTTTGCTCTGGGCCACGGCCACAGATGCTGTGTGCGCTGATGACAGGCGCCACTGCCTGCCCGACTCAGGGAATGCCAGGAGCTGCTGCTGAGATGGAGCAGTGGCTTTGTGTTGGCTACAGCCAGATGCTTGGCTGAAAATGACAAAAGCCCAGCCCTGCTGGGAAGAGTCCCCATCTATCTAGGGACAGAGACCGAGAGCTAACACAAGTACCAGGCAACTCCCTGGGCTGGCCTTTCAGAGCAGCTGTCTCAGGGGAACCACTCCACGAGTCCTCGTATCTTGTACTCATTGACAGCAGGCCACCAAGCATCACAGAGGGAAGGGCAAGAGTGAGCAGAGCCCTGCCCCTCTCAGAGGCACAGCCTGAACTCCGTCAGACCAGTGGACACCCACACCGACAGTGGCCCAGCAGCTTCCCAGACTCCTGTTCTAACCTGTGGGTTCAATTACTTACAGTGGAAAAGGGGGAAATGAATGGCTAGAGCACAGGGAAGCTATAGGATACTAAAGCTATTCTTAGGGGACTGTCAGAGTAGGCTCACAGCCTCACACATTTGGTGAAACCTAGAGGAGGGACAACATTAAGTGAGCCTGGACAGAAACCAGGCACTTTAGTGAATAATCACATATCACTAAGGGTTCATCACTTATCAGTCGTGCACCATTAAAAAGAAGAAATCTGAAGCAGAGAAAGAAAAGGACATGAGAACATTCGTGCTCAGTTTCTTTGAACACTTAAAATTGCTCTAAATGATAAAACTTGTGATGTTTTTCAATGGGAAGCAGGTTTTGCTTACATTGCAGTTTTATTGGGGAGATAAAGAGAGCCTGAGGCCACTCCTTTCTCCTTCCATGGGAGGGCTGTCCTGCAGCACGGCAGCCACTTCCTGTCCATACCCGGAGTTTGTCACAGACCTGCCTGTGACAGAGGCCTCCGTGTGTCTCCTCTCTGGAGCTCCACACTGCCAATGTCTCTGTGCCTCAGTTTTCCAGCTGGCCCGAGGAACACTGATGTCTGTGTTCCCTCTCCATGCTGGAGGGCAGGGTGCAGGCTGTGAGACACCCAAAGGCTCAGGACATGGAATGTGCTAGGAGGCCCAGGGACCAAGCAAAGCCAGGGCACTGTGGCTAAATGAATGAAAAAGACAGATCCAAAGACAACAGAATCCAGAGGGCGCTTTTGGACACCAAGGAGACACCGCAATGCAAGAAGGATGCATGTTTCCTGTTGCTGGTGGAGACTGGCAGAGAGCAAAGCCCCCCAGCACCTTTGAGCCAGCAAAGCCCCTTCACCTTTCTCTCAGCCTCATTGTTTCCTCTGCGACCTGGTGCGTGGTTCTGCCTCACAGTGCTGCTATGAGAACTGAGCAAGGCAATCCCAGCAAAACACCTGGGGAAGAGAGGTGCCGGGGCCATGACTTGCCCTCTCTCTTCCTGACAGCTTTTCTTTAGAGCAAAATGAATAGGCAGTGTTAGTACAAGTCAGGAATGAGAGGGCTTGGGAGCCCTGGAGGCTTCCTTTGCTGCCACAGGCTGCCCTGCTGGCAGCCAAAACAAGTCTCCCAGTCTAGGAGCGGGGGATGCTCACCAAGACTGCAGTCCTGAAGTCATGATCCCCTCTTCCTCAGGGGCTGATGACATATGGAAACTCACTCTTGTCTGTCTGGAAACGCTCTAAGCCAAAGTTAGCTATGTCTAGGGAAAAATTCCCTGGGACCAGCTTCAACTTTCAGGGCTCCTGATGTCTCCTGCACCACCAGGGAGAGGGGCGGTTAGGCCAGCACAGCCTTGCCAGATTTGCATGTGCAGTGAGGACAGAAAGCCCAGCCTGGGGAGGGGTCCTCTGTAAAGAAGACAATAACTTCTCATATGAAGAATTCTTACACTCACCCAAATTTTACAGAAAGCCTCAATGACCATGCTTGTTTCTCACTATTACACAGCATTAGACAGAAAATAAAGAGCCAAGACAAAAGAAGCCACTCATGGCCACCAGCTCCCAGCTGTCTGCTCCCCCAGGAAAATCCAAGGTCTGCTTTTCATCCATGTGTCCCACACTGGCATTGGACTGTGCTCTGCCTTAATCTGCTGCCCATTTCCTAGGCTAAGGCCCTTCTTGTTTACTGTCCAACCTAGAATTCTCTTTGTGGCTCTCCAAGTTTTGTGACACTGATCTACTCGGACCTCACTCCTTGGAACCCTGGAGTTTCTGCTCATGCTGGCTGTCTACCTACAACCAAGGCCTCTAGTCTAGTCCAGCTCTCGGGTCTTTCTACTTCCCATTTGCCTGTCTGTGCTGAGCTCACTAAGACATCCCAAGCCAAAACGAAACCTTGGAAAATGCAGCGGAATCTCAGCCTCTATCCTGAAGGACTTGGAAACATTTCCACTATCTCCACTCACGTGAGACTCCCAATAAATCTGGAGTCAGGTAAAATGACTTCCATTTTACAGAGGAGAAAACACATGCTGGGAGGAGGAAAGGGTTTGGTATAAGGCCACAGGGCCAGTGACATACAGAGCAGCCCTTGACTCTTTTGAGTCCAAGTTATATATCCATCCGCCCCCCTTTCCAGTAGTGGCACAGGTGAAAGAAATTTGTGTAAGAGTATGGAGATGACAGCCAGAGCAATGAACAGGCTTAGGGGACCAAGTTTATGGGAGGTAGGGTTCACTTGGTACACACCTCTAGCCCCAAGTCCCTGTGCTTCACTATGCAGAGGAGCCAGAGCTCATTCCTCAGCCATAGCCAAGGAAAGGCAGGTCTGGGTGAAATCTGGCTTTGGTACTTTTGACACTGTAACCTTGTGTCCTTCCTTGGGCCTTTATTTTCTTTTCTAAACACACACACACACACACCACTGTATGTGCTTGGACACAGTAAATTCCCATGAGGTGCCACTACTCCTCTGATCTATGGGGCCTGGCAGCCCTGGAGGGGTTGTACACAGCAGAATTTCTACTGCGCATTGAGCAAGTTACAGGAGGTGCCACAGCGGCAAGGCCCTGAGGCTCTGAGAAGAAGCAGGGAGCTTCAGCGGGGAGGTCGAGGTCGGCAGCCCCACTGCTATTGTTGTTGCTGAAGGTCTCCCAAAGGCCCTGGCCCAGGTGGCAGCACTGAGAGGTAGGGGCATCCCAGTGCCCCTGGGTCATTGGAGGTGAAGCCTGGAAGCACAACGCGGCCCCTGCTTCTGTCTCTCACTCCCTGGGCATGAGGTAAGTGCTATGCTCTGCTCCTTGCTGCTTCTGTGATTTGCTGCCTCGCCACAGGCCCAGCCAGTCCTGGACCAGAACCACTATAATCATGAGCCAGAAAAACTTTTCCTCTTCGTAAGAAAATAACGGAAAACCAGCAACATTTCTAGGGGCTCCAGCAACTCACCAGAGCGCAGGAAGCCGAAGACTCCTGTCCGGTAGTTGGCAGTGACCACAATGAGGTTGCCAATAGCGGCCAGAAAGGAGCCGTCGATCGCCAGCTGTCCTTTGCTGACATCCTCCTCCGCAGCGTTGTGGAAGAACACCAGCACAGGTGCGCGGGAGGCCTGAGGGGAGGGTATAGGAGGGGTGCTTGATGCTGGCCTGATTTCACTGCAGGGGCTTTGGGAGGCCCCACCCTGCATCTACACCACGGTTCTGCTGTTCACCTTGCCTGGAGGCATTTAGCCCTGTATGGTGCCTGAGTTTTGTCCCTGCTCCTTTCATGCATTGAAGTGCCAACTTCTGGCAGCTCAGTGTGTGACTGTATTTGGAGACAGACTTAAAGAGGTGAATCACATAAATGTGCTCCTGCATATGGGACCCAATTCCACCTGGCTGGTGTCCTTGTAAGAAGAGGGAGTTTGGATCCAGACATGCACAGAGGGGACATAAGAATACACCAGAAGATGACTAACCCCCTGCAAGCCAAGCAGACAGGCCTGAGGGACAGGCACCTATGGCACCTTGACCTTGGACTTCCAGTCTCCTGTGTATAAGCAACAAACCTTGTGGGTTGAGGCACCTGGTCTTCAGAACTTACACATCACCGAGCCCGAGTGCACCGATAAGGAAACTGAGGTTCACAGAAAGCAGGGTGCTATGTACTCACTGCTGTGCATATGGCACCACACCACACCCAGGCCTGGGCTTCTTTTATTGAAAAGGGTTGCTCTGAGTCCTCAGTGACACGTGACAGTTAGTCACTCTGTGCCAAGTCCCCATCTCAGTAGCTCCTAGCTGGCTGAAGTGGCTCCAAGGGCTGGCAGCGTTCCGTGTACATGTGTTACTTATTTGGTCTTCACACAGCTTGGTGCAGATGGTGCATTATTATTACCATCTCCTTTCACAAATGGGAATGCAGAAGCTCAGGGCTGCCACATAGCTGATCAGCGATCACACATCTAGGAAGCAGGGCACTGGGCTTTGAATCTACGCTGACCCTTTTGTACTGGTATGTTAAGTGGCATCGGAGGCACCTCGATGGGGTGTATTCGTGCAGCACTGATGCCTGGTGTCCTGTGCAGGATCCTGCCTCCATGAGCAGCGACTTCTCCACTTTTGGTGCAATGGCACATACAGGTTTCTATCCAGACTTTTTGCCATAGCCGACCTTGGCTTGGCCCTTTCTCTATGCTAACCTCCCACATCTGAACATCTCTCAGCTCTTCCACCCATGAGGCAGCACAAGGGCTGAAGCACCCTCGATATACAGATGGGGACCCAGACTCAGAGTGATAAGGTAAGCAGTTAAGACACCCAAAAAGGAAAGGTCAACTTGGGACCCAAGTGACCGCTCCTCCTCGCCTTCTCCCTAGCACATCCCTCGGTGATGCTGCAGTTCAAACGTCCCCATGGTGCAGAACTATGGATTTTTCAAAGACAAGACTATTTAGGTCACAGGGAGACCAGTTTGGGAGCTTAGGTTTCATTGGGTGGGGTCTTCAGACAGGTCAGAAACATGTTCTACGCCTCCTAAAGTATGAGTGATTTTACTGGGTAGCATTGGGCCAGTGTGAGAGAAGGATGTTGAGCCATCCTCTGCCACTGTTGACAACACAGGGACAAGGCACGGAGGGGCCAGGCTCAGCCTCCACCCCTATGGCAAGTGTAAGGACACTGGGTTCCCCAAAGGGCCTGTCACTACCTGCTGTGGCAGTGCTTCTCCCCAAGGCCAACTGGGCCCTGTGAGCACCTCAAGAGAAAGGTAAAGGTCTCATAGCCTGGGAGCTTCCTTAAAGGAAGGAACATCCGGTTTGGAGTCAAGACCCAGGAGACAAACTTCCACTGTGCCAGCAGGGAGCCCTTCAGTCACTTAGCCTCTCAGCCTTCGTGTCTGTACCTTTACATTAGAGGAAAATTGATCTGTCTATACTTTATCAATTTACCACCCAAATATCTGCCATCTCCTCTCCTAGAGCTGATAAGAAGGCTGATGGCCAGATACTATTCCTGTTTCTACTTTCAGACAAAGTAGCTGGGATACACAAACTTGAGTTACTTCCTCCAGGGCAAGGAGGGAGCAGCAGGTAGCAGGGCTGGTTTGGCCCCAGAACTTCATTCAGCATTATAGGTTTGTGGTGAGACCAACACTGGGCAGAATAGTGCCGAGCCTCTCACTCAATCAAGGCTCCATATTTCTATTAATGCAGCCAGTGAGAGCTTGTGCATTTTCGGTGGCCTATTAAGAAGCTCATTAACAGTTGTAGCCCAGCCTCTGAATACAGTTTACTTTCATTGATAGGAAATGAGAGGACTGGGAAATAGCAGCATTGTCACCCGACTCCAGGTTGGCATCCCCAGAAAGTCATGTCCCCTGTAGCTCACCCACCCCTTCTTCGCCCAGGAGCGTTGACCCTTCCCCTCAGACAGGGAACTCAGCCTTCCAGAGCAGGTTGGTAGTAGCTTCCTAAGCAGACAAAAGCTTCAAAACAGAGCAAAGTAAGTCCAAGGCCAAAGTTCAACATCCTTGGTACCCTCCTTACACTTCAGTTCTTGTCCACCTGAAAGCTCCTGAGTATCCTGCTTCCTTTCAGCTACTAGGCCTCCAGGAAGCACAGAGATGTTGAGAGCAGCACTTAAGTTACACATGCCAAGCAGAGCCCAGCAAAGGTGAGCAGCCAGATGTGGCAGTCTTGGGGACAGGGCATTCCTAATAGGAGCACATTCCAGGCAAGCATAGCAGGTGCTACAGGACTCACCAGGTTCCCTGGGACAAACACATTGAGATACAAGCAATCTTCACTGACTCCAGGGGGCGTGGGTGTGTGGACGCCTGGCAGCCAGCAGCTGGCCCTGCAAAGGACAGACTAGATGAGCTGCAGGAAAAATAACCAAGGAGGCTCAAACCATTTCCATCCCTGTCTACCTCCGGCAAAGCCCACGGCTCTACTCCAATGCTTGGCTTTTCCCCTGCCCTCTGGGAACTCCCTCAGAATATGAGAGAGGCCAATGAACAGAGGGCATGGAGCAGCTGTACCTGGCTCTGGCCACCAACCTATGGAGAAGCATCTCCCAGGGAGTATGTGCTGGCCCTGACGCAAGTGTGCTGATCCCTACACTGAGATAGAGAGGGGACAGTGGATATCACCAGTCGAGCCACTGTTAGCACATTTACAAACTCTACTGGAAGCAGGATCTGACCTGCCTTCTATGCAGAACAGAGATCTGGGGGACAGAATGAGAATTCATGGACAGATTTGTATCCATGGTATCAGAGTGGAGACCACATCTGGGTTCCTGCCTAACTGTGGCATCAGAATGACCTGCCCCAAAGGCTTCTCAGTTATCACCCACATTGTACCATCCCTGGGCTACAATGACCCAAGATCTGCAGTCACTCACTGCTCAAGACCCACAGGACCCATCACCTCATCTATTCGCCAAGTACAGCCAGCATGGTGAGCTGTTCTAATTCGTATTTGCTTTTGTTTTCTAATGCTGGAGCAGACTTCGGTCCAGGCCTCTCTGTGTCACTACTGTCACAGTCACTGTGTAGGCCTCTACCCCTTTTCATGAGAGTACTTCAAGAGCTGCCTAGCTCAGTCTTTGCCTGACCATGGGCCTAGGAACCTGCTCACCACTCCAGCTGGCTGCAGTAGTCGACAGGGAGGGTAAAGCTGCCTAGGGACAGAGCTACAGGACAGGGATGCCACGGGAGGCCAGTCATGAGTAGGCAAGAGAGCCACAGGCAGTGTTTCTAAGACCTGAATGAGCTTGAATTAGAAACCATCAAACAATCATTCTCCAGTATGTTATCTATTTAAAATGAAAAATGTTAATGGAGGAAAGGATAGGATATGATTGTTTAAAGTAAAAGAAAACTTGTAATATTCTGCCAATTGGGGGAAAACTGGTGTGCTTAAATTGTTTTCATTGGCTCATTTACTTTTCTTACAGTGCTGCATTTTCTTTCCAGCACCATCAGACATCACCAGGAGGCTGAGTTTAGCCACTGCAGACTATGCAAGGGATATGTACCTCACCTCCAGCCTGGTCCATAGGAACATCCCTGCAGATGCTTCCCTAGCTGTACTGCCCTGGATCAGTGTCCAATGTCCAAAGAGACCTTAAAAGATACACACTGGAGAAGGCAGAGCCTCCACTGGCCTGGACCTGTGAATCTCCACAGGCACACAGGTCTATCCATCACCACAGAGAGCTGACATGAGTGACATTGCACAGACCACTGGTACCGAGGGGTACAGCTGTGACAGCAACACCCCCATCCGTTGCTCAATCCAGAAGTCACTCAAGATGCACACCTTGCATGCCCTACCTTGGTTTAGTGGCATCCCAAGATCCTGTCCAGTTCAAGGGCTCTGGGGGCCGGAAGCGTCTCTCTGCTAGTGGTGGAGAGGCATAGGGAACTCCAAGGAACTGGTCCACTTGTTTCCATGCAGTGCCCACCTGAACAGCCTGGGATCTGCCCTGTAGCCAGCCATGAGGAGCTATGAGCACAGAAGGCACAGATCCTCCCTCCGAGCGGAGCAAAGTGGTGCCTGGGGAAGGGGCCAGCGGGAGGTAGCTGTGAGTACTCAGGTTCCAGGTCTCCTGTGTAGCTTCAGACAAAAGACTCATGCTTCTCCTACCTTGAAAACATCAGTAGTCCATTCAGACCCAAGGACTCAGGACCAGTTAACAACAGTAGACAGAAGTTGCTGATCTTTATTTGGCACCAGATGTGTGCAGAGCATGACTCTGACCCTCTCTAACGTGCACTGCCTCCTGAATTTTCAGTGCCACTGTGAGGAAGGTGCTGAGCAAGCCTTACCTTCACCCCACATCCTAGCATGTGAAAGGAGCTCTGTGGCACACACACAGTGAACTCTGCTCATTCCTCCAAGAGGGGTGGAGAAGAGCCCTGCTGTCAGAGTGAATTCTGTGAGGAAGTATACGGATGGTTCATACTAAGAAGGATGAGTCAGGAATACAATTTCTTCTGTCATTTCAGATCAAACTTTTGTCAATCAGTAAGTTTAAAGCAAATTTACAAAAAAAAAAAAAAACTTACTTAGAACATTTGAATTTCACCATTGCAGCCTAAGCAGTGTAGGCCATATTCACATTTTCCTGGTGACAGGGTTAGGGGAAGGGTGGGAAGACCAACAGGACCACACGATGATGTAAGACTCAAAGCTCAACTTTGGAGCCCCGCCCAGACCAAGCCCTGTGTACACAGCTAGGAGCTAGGCACGAGCAACCCTTTCCTGCACTCTGCTGCCATGGCCCACACACGCAGGCCACCTGGCTGTGTGTTCACATCCAAATTTCCAGTCCATAAAGTCCTGACAGAGCCCCTGGCCAGCCCTGCTCAGCGGTCTGTGCATCCCAACCCTGGTGTGGTGATCACACCAGACACATTCGTCCACCCCATCCCCATCCCTCATCCTAGTTCTTCTACTCCGTTTTCTTCCACTCAGCTGATACACTTCTGCTGAGCCCAAGCTCAGTGTCACCGGCCGATGACTAGTTCCCTATGGGACTCGGGGCCTTCCACAAAGGAAGTAATACACACTAGTGAGGAGACACCAGTATCATGAGAGGAGTCTTAATATTCTGTCTGCTCAGCTCCATTCCTGACTGGGAGACAAAGCCCTGCTGTTCTCCACAGTTCCTTATGTAAAGATATGTGCATTATAGCACAAGTGAGCAGAAGGGAGGGGAATGGAGGCAGACACATGACAGGTAGAGTCCATCCAATCTTCAACAGCATGTGGTAAGCAATGGTGGTCAGCTGGAAGGGATTTGGCTCTCATAGGGATATGGCCATATCCGGAGAGATTTTTGGTTTGTCACAACCTGGGGAGGAACTATTATTGGCGTCTAGTAGGAGACCTTAATATCCTGCAATAGACAGACATCACCTCACCCCCAAGAATTTTACAGTCCCAAATCTCAGTGAGATCTGAGGCTGGGAAAGCTGGTGTAAGATCCATTCATGATGGGCATGCACTGAGGGCCATTCCAGGGAAGCAGAGCCCACTGACAGTCTGGGGGTGGGCTTTACATGTTGAGGTTACATATTGGGGAAAACTCTGTGATATTTCTAAGCTTTAACCTTCCATCCTGTGAAACAGGAGTGGTAGAAGCACTGAAGCACAACAATGTCAGGAGTGAATTAGATACTGCTAATGTTCCAAGCACAGTTCCTGGCAAATGGCAGGAGCTGGCCATGTGGATGGAAGGAGGAATGCATGGTTGGGGGATGGATGAATTGATGGGTGGATGGATGGATGGATGAACTATTTATGGAAGAGGGGGGAAACAGAGAGAGGGAGAGAGCGATCAATTTATAAAAAGAGGGAGGAAGTAATAGCAGAAGGAAGAGGTGGATTGGTTTATAGAGAAGTAGGGAGAAATAAAGAGAAAAGGAGGAAGGCATTAGTGGATTTATGGAGGGAGGAATAGAGAAGTGCTGGATAAATGAGTGGAAGGAATGAAGGAAGGGGTAGAGAGAAAAGGGCTGAAAGAAGAAAAGTAGGGGGAAAAACAGAAAGAGAGAGGAATGCCAAGAAAGACTTCTCTGCTGCAAAAACCCTGGAGTATGAGTTAGAAACCAAAATGGAGACTTTGGGAGGAAAAATGGTTTCTGTTTTTAATTTAGTTTCAATCACAAATCAGGACTGACCACCCCCTCATTTCCTCTCACATGGTTTCCTGTTACAGTCATCAACCACAGGCCCCAAATTTTCTCTGGCTGTGCAGGCCATTGCTACATTTCATGACTGTAGCCTTTGGGAGTGAAGCCAGAAAAACACAAAGGTGAAAGAGCCTGTGTGGACCACAGCATGGTCCACAGTGCCATTCAACTCAAGGACATGTTAGAGGGCCAGCTACCCCTTTTGAATTCTTCTGCAGGAATGGCACTCTTTCCAAAATACCCACATATTTAGGCCATGTCACATGGCCTAAGTTACACCAAATTCATAGAGAAGCAGCCTAATCTATTTTACAGAACTCTATCCTGAGCACCAGGGCATTTCTCCACAGAATTACCACATGGATTGGCATTATTGGTGACATGCACTATTAAAATCTGGCCAGCTTGACTGAGTAATATAAATTTACAGACAGAAGGAAGGTTGAGAGCCTAGGACCTTCCCAGGCCTGAGAAACATTCTCATGACCTGAGGCGGGAGAAGGATATAGGAGAAAGATATCCCTGGTACCCAACAGGACTAAAGGACTATCAAATCTCAAGACAGAAGTAGGACAAAATCCAACTGCTTGCTGCGCCTGTCAGAAAAGTTTTATTGGAACACTGCCATGACCTATATTACTTTGAGTATTGTTCTTGGCTCTTTTCATACCATTCAGGCTGTTGTATAGTGGTAATAGAAACTTATCCTTGCCAGAACTTAAAAGAGGGAGAGAATGCATGACCACTGCTCGTGAGACAGAGTGAGAGCTATAGCCAACACCATCAGAGTTGCTCATTTCTTCCCAGGGAAGAAGGGAGGGACTAGCAGGGAGGGGCTTTCCCACCCTCACTGGCTCCCATGCTTCCTGGGCTGCAGCTTTTCTCGGGGATGGGTTTGTATGCTGCTCTCTGCTGACCTGGGGAGGAGACCCTACACTCTTACACTCAGCAGAATACTGGACACTTAACAGCTGTATGTGTGTGCATGCATGTGTGTGCGTGTGTCTTTCAGGGCATGCTAAGTAAGTGTTGTACCTGTTCCAGCCCTACATGTTTTTTAAAACTCATTTCTGTTGGGAACATTTTCCTTCTTTAGGGTGTGGCAGTTCAGTGTAGCACAGATCCATAGGAAAAAGGTGATAGAATGAGGCAGGAGTTCTGGCTGTGTGTACCCACCCAGGGTGCCCTCACTGACTGGTTAGATCCTGCCACCACCTCATGACACCATGCCACACAGGAAGGAGGAGGAGCCTGCTGGTCCACCCTATGGCTGCCAGGGTCAAATCACCAACTGCTATCTGGCTCTGCACATTGGCTTTCCTCAGTGCAGGATGGAAGAGGTGACAGTCAAATGACTGACCAGACAGAGGATGAGATCGCTTCCCTGGGGAGAGTTTCACTTCTGGATTGAAATGTTACCAGGTAAGAAACATCCTGGTGAGACAGACTCAGAAAGGGTAAGGGCTGGGCGAAGATTCCACGAAGTTCCCTAAGAAAGTCAAGCTCAAGACAGGAGGGTCACAGGGCCTGTACTGTGTGGTGGGAGGCCAGGTTTGGTGGGTGAAACCTGAAGAGAGGGCTGGATCTGAAGGTGATGGTGTTGAGTCAAGTGGTCTTTATGAGCTCCTGAACTGCTACTAACATCGAGTGAATACCAATGGTCTGATTTACTGCAGGTCGATATCTGAATTGCCTAAGTATCTATACTAAAATCACAAATCTCTTTCCTTTGGTTAAGGGTGGTTTACGAGTGGTTCCTAGGGTTTGTCAGTATCCAGATTATATTTGATGGGTTTCTTGCTGACTTCAGTATGATAGCCAAGGTGACACAAGTGTTGCTATCAACAGGTTTTCCCTGTATGCCAATATGTAGATTCCCTCGAGGTCATAAACAGTACTTTGGCCAATTTCAGAAGAACCAGATACCAAGCCAAGTAAACTGCAACCTCTTCTCTCAAATAAATGGAGAAAGTTGGCTCCTGGGACAGAAGCAAAGGCCAATAATTAGCCATGCTCACGAGATAACTTTGCATCAAAGCTAAGCACTATAATCAACCACAAAACCCCAGCACAGGAAACAAATAAACAAACAAGAGAAAAAAAGATAATTAAATGCCTCCAAAACCTCCCAACTACCCCAAATCCAATCCAGGGGCCATCAAGGGGAAGAAAATCAAAAGCCACACACAACAAAAATATCTGAGATGTTATCAGAGGAAGTAACAAAAAGATCAGTAAGATGTGTGGTTAAATCCAAAGAATATATATAACTAAACAGATAATGATCATAATAAAACAAATAATCAGTAAGTCTAAAGAAGACACCAATAAAAATCTAGCAGAGCCAAAGAAAAAGATTCATAGCCCAATGAATCAAAGGATGAAAAACAATATTCCATGCAACATGAACCCAAAAACAAGGAGGAGAAACCACAGTATTTTTACACATAGAGCAGAGCACAAACCAATAAAGTGAAGTCAAAAACAAAACAAAGATCAATAAATCAAAGAGCTAGTTTTTTGAAAGTAAAAGCAAATGAACAAACCATTAGCCAATCATTCCAAAAATAGGGAAGAAAAGACACAAATCAATGTAATTAGAAATGAAAAAAGTGAAATTATAAGACAATGCCCAAATCCAGAAAATTAGTAGCAACTACTTCACAAACTTGTACACCAAAAATTGGAAAACTCAAAAGGAATGGAGAGATTCCTAGATACATATGAATTATCAAAACCAAAACAAGAAGACTTAAAAATTCTGAATAATCCAGTAACAGCCAATGAAACTGAAGCAGTGACTTAAAAAATTACTAAGAAAGGCCCTGAACCTAATGGATTCATTGCCAAATTCTACAAGAACTTCAGAGACGATCTCATGTTAATACTCCTCAAAATCACTAATGAAATTGAAAGGAGTACTTCCAAGTCATTCTTGGAAGCTAACATTCCTCTCATCCCCATAAAGCAGACAAGGACCCAAACAAACAAGACAACTACAGATAATCTCTCTAATGAACATAGATACAAAAATCCTAAACAAAGTATTGACAAACGGAATGTAACAAATCAACAAAGAGTTCATACAATGTGACTAACTAGACTTCATCCCAACAATGCAAGGATGGTTCAGTATACACAAGTGAATAAATATCATTCAGCACTTACACAGGAGCAAAGACAAAACTCACATGATCATCTCAAAAGATGCAGAAAAAGCATTTGATAAAATCCAATCTCCATTCATGATAAAAACCCTGAAAAAAAATTAGGTACACAAGCACCTTACCTCAGTCTGATAAAAGCCATTTATGACCAACCTACAGCCAGAATCATATTAAATGAGGAAAAACTTTCCCTCTAAAATCAGGAACAAGACAGGATGTCCACTAGCACCACTCCTATTAAACATTGTCCTCAAAACACTAGCCAGGGAATCAAGCAAGAGCAAAGAAATAAATGGATACACACAGGAAAGTATGAGGTTAAAGTGTCATTATTTGCAGATGACATGATTTTCTATATAGAAGACCCAAAATATTTCCCTCAAAGAAGTCTAGAATTAACAACCAAATTTAGTAGCATAGCATGATACAATGTAAATACATAAATAGCATTCCTATACACTAATAATTAACTCACTGAGTAAGAAATAAGGAAAATATTATCATTCACAATAGCATCAAGAAAAGGAATTAACCTAACCAAGGGAGTGAAAGACCTCTGCAATGACAATTATGTCACTCTGAAAAATGAAATGAAGGAGGACATCAGAAAATGGAAAGATATCCCTTGTTCTTGAATAGGCAGAATAAATGTAGCCAAAATGCTTACACTTCTAAAACTGATATATAGATTTAACACAATTCCTATCAAAATCTCAGTAGCAATTCTCAAAGATCTATAGAAAACAATTCTAAAATTCATATGGAAACAGAAGAGACTCAGAATAGCAAAGCAGTCCTGAGCAACAAGAGCTTAGCAGATGGCATCACAATCTTAGATCTGAGGCTATACTACAATGCTGTTGTGATCAGGATGTTCACAGCAGGGCTGCAACTTGTATATCTCACTGCTGAGTGGCTTGAGCCACTGGTGATATGTGTACAAATGTCTCATCACATGACTTTTTACTATTTTTATTAGTAAAAAGGCTGACAAAATGGTGAGGTCCATTTGTAACACCAGTCACACAAGCTGCCCAATAGAACAGCCACGTGCATGCCACACATGGTTCAAGCCAATCAGAATGTGTTAGAATACCATGGTACTGACACAGCTATGAGGATCAGTGGAACAGAAGAGAGGTGTCCTTCTGTTCACATAATGATCATAATAAAACAAATAATCAGTAATTGCAGACACATTCACCTATTTGATCTTTGACAAAGGGGTCAAACATTGAAGGAAAGATAGCTTCGTTAATAAATGACACTTGGAAAACTGGAAAGCCCTATGCAGAAGGTTGAGTCCCATTTATCTCACCTTTAATCTCATCATGTATCACACTATAATCAAAAGTCGATCAAATATTTAAATGTTAAAGCTGAAACAATCTGCTGGAAAATAAAATAGATAAGACTCTTGGAAAGTAAGGGGTAAGCAAAGATTTCTGAATATAATTCCGGTGGCACAATAAATAATACCAAGAATTCACAAATAAGATAATATCAAATTAAACAGCTTTTGCACCTCAAAAGAAACAATCCATAAAGTAAAGAGACAACCTACAGAATGAGAAAAGATTTTTTCCAGCTATTCCTCATACAGAGCACTAACATCCAGGATATAAAGAACTCAGAAAAATTATACCTCTCCAAAACTAAAGGTCCAGTTAAAAAAGAGGGGCATACAAAGTGAATAGACACCTCTCAGAAGTATGAATGACCGATATGGCCAATACAATGCAGGAAAAATATTCAACATCATTGGCTATTGGACAAATACAAATTAAAACAACATTAAGATACTACCCTACTGCAGACAGAACAGCTAGTATCATGAAATCAAATAATAACAATCGCTGCAAAATTTGGGGAAAAGAAAGTCTTCCACATTGCTGATGTTTCCAGTGGTTGTAAACTAGTGCAACCACTTTGGAAATCTGTTTGGAGATTCCTCAGAAAACTAAAACTAGAAAATCCATTTGATCCTTCTAGGAATTGTTTTGAAATAATTAAAGTCATCAGATTACAGAGGTATATGCATACCTATCTTTATAGCAGCACAATTTTTAATAGACAAACCTTGGATATTGACCTATATGCCCATGAAGAGATGGAGAGATAAAGAAAATGTGCTGTTTAATGCACAATGAAATATTACTTTGGCATAAAGAAAAATAAACTTAAGGTATTTGAAGGTAAATTGATGCAATTGGAGAATATAATAGTAAATTAAATAAGTTCCACGCAAGCTTAAATATCACATGGTTTCTCTCATATGGGAAACCGTATATATATATATGAAGGGAGTACAGGAGGGGAGGAGACACGGAGGGAAGGAGGGAGGGAGAAAATAAGTAAATATAAGTGGGGAGATGCTTTTCAAATGGATGAGGACAAGTGATGGGAAGAGGGGTGTGAGTGAAGGGAAAAAACTGAAGGGGAAAATGATGAAAATAGAGCTTTTGCAAATGGGAGGGGGTGAGCAGGGAGGAAGAGGAGAGACAGAAGATTAAACAAAGAAGAATTAAGGTGTATATTGCTATGTACCAACTTCCCACAGTAAATGCAATCATCATGTCCTGAAAACATCTATAAAATAAACAAAAAATAAAAGCCATTAAAATTAGAATTCTGCCACCTTCCAAGATTAATGTGATGCCCAAATGAAATACAGCAAGTGAAGGAATTCTCTAAGCTAAAAAGCAGTGTAATAGCCTATTTAATATTAAACTAGGAAACTCAAGGGCCAAAGTGGCTCCTTTAATAAAGCCACTGTCTGTCCAGTTACTATAAGGATGGTCCCCCAACCCCTCTCTGGTCCCCAGGTCAGCCGCACAGGTCAAGTTGGGGCTCACCAGGCTTGCGGTAGATGTGGATGGCCTCTTCGCGGAGCAGGAGCTGGCAGCTCTGGCCCTGCAGGGTGTGTGTGCAGCTCTGGGTGTCAGGGTAGAACACACACCGTGTGGCCCCAGGCCAGGTCTGCAGAGTGGTGGTGATGCAGGCCTGGTGATGGGAACATTCTGTGGGGCAGAAGAAGGATGGCAGGTGTGGCCTCAGATGTCAATTTCACACACACAGCCACATGTGACTGCCTGAATCCATCCACCTGTGCAGTCATCCATCCTCCTTCCCATCCATTCATTGATTCATCCTTCTATTCCCATGTCCCCATACACCCATTCAAGTATCATCCACCCATCCTTCCAAATCATTACAAAGGCATGAATCCATGCAGGCATGCAGCCATTTATCCATTGGCCAATCCGTTGGTCCATCCACCCTTCTGTCCATGCATGTCTCCATGAATTGTCGACATGTCATCCATTTATCCTTCCACTCAACCATCCTCCATGCATCCAAGACCCTGTTCTCCCATCTCTCCATCCTTCTTTTTATCCCTTTGGTCTGAAATCGCTTATTCTTTTGAGCACCCACTATACGTCCTACATACTGCACTAAGACTGAGAATGACATGGTGGTGGTGGGGAACCCAAAGCCCTCACTGATGTATTTTCCACACAGCAGTGAAGACTTGTGTTGTTTATTTAATTCATTAGTGACCCTTGACACGCCCTGTTGAAAACATTCCTGTGACTCCCCGAGGGGCTCTGGTTAAAGTGGCCCTAGACAGGCCTTCCTTGTTCCAGCCCCTGTTTTCCTCCTCACTTAGTATGCCTCTGACCTGTTTCACCACCTGCTGAGCTCACACATACCTGCAGGTTCCACTGGGGACCAGCCCCTTTTCCCTTGCCACTTAGCTACTGTACAGACAATCTGCTTACACTATTCTATGGCATTCAGTACTAAGAATGCCTCTAAAATCAGTGCTGCTTGTTTAATTGGGAAAGTTGTATATGGTCTTATTCATACTCAGTCTCCAAGTCATGCCACCTACAGTGTGTGTGCAGTACACAGTTTGTACATCTGTACATGATGCCCTGGCTTGAGGGGTAACCATGGCTTTGCAAGTGCTACTATCCAATCTTGTAGGAGAGGTTCATTGAATTCACGGAATCTTAGAAGGCTTCAGAATCCTGGAAGGGTGTAAATGGTGTCTGATCTTAGCCACTTTTAGAAACTAAAAAGTCTGTGCAGAATATTCCGATGGAGTGGCCACCTAGTTATTGTTTGAACACCGATGATTAGAAACTCTCTAGAGCAGTTATGCATCTGTGGGTACCTTTGCTTGGTAGAAAGTTCTTCAAATTGCATTGAAGAAATTCAAGTCATAGCCCAGGTCTTAGCTTAGTCTGTGACCACAGCAAGTCACTCTCCTCCTTGCCATCAGGGCAGCGCAGTGGGGCAGTGGGAAGACACATTCGGGTCTCCTCCTCTGAGCTAACTTCTTCCTGCCAAACCCACCCTCAGGTTATTTATCCACAAATCTCTGTGTGTCTCTGAAATCAGGACCTTGAGCAGCTCTGGGGAGGCACCATGCACCCTTCCTGGGGTGCAGACTTCTCTTACCCTGCAAGCAGAAGTCTCGGGCAGCTGAGAAGTTGGTGGCAATAGTGCTGATGTGGGCGACATCAAAATGCCTGATGGATGGATCTACAGCTACTGAGGAGACAGCCAGGGACTGCCATGAGTCCAGAGCAACTAGGAAAAATGCAGAGGACAGACAAAAAGTTATAGCCTGGGCACACAGTTAACAGTAGAGGCAATGTTCCCAGTGTTCACAGAGACAGCTCGGGGCACTCTCTGCAGGTCTCTATTGTCCTGTGACCCAAAACCTTTATTATGTGCCTCTGGTGTCTCTGTTCTCCAACCAGTTGTTAAGTTCTGTTTATGAGCCACGCTTTGTGCTAAACTGGGGAGGGAGACGCTACAAAGGTTCCAAGACAAAACAACGAAACATTTTCCAGTAAGTAATTCACAGTAGAATGGAAGAAAATTCCAGAAGACAAAGAATCCATGGAGATGGCGCTGGTTCAATGCAATAGTGATAAGAGGTGACGATGATGGGAGGAATAATTTAACAGGTACTGGTATCATTGTGATCAGGTCTCTGTGGACACCACATCACTTCTTCCTCCCCTTAGGGACTGCAGGAGACACTCCTACGCTTCCTAGATCCACCAACAGTGGCTCTCATTTCTCAGTTGTTGGGAACTTTATGGCCAGTAGCTTTCATCCAGTGCCATTGATCTAAGAGAGGCAGAACCCTGACCCAGGGACAGCCAACATCCGAAACTCCTGTCATACAGATGGAGAAGGCCGGGCCTCTGATCTCAACATGGAATAACACCGCTTCCACTCCCTAGGGAATCACAGGGTCTTTGCTGGACTTGCAGTGAGGTTGTTTCTCTGTCTGGCCTGGCACTCACTCCCTACAGCTTACTGGTTCCCAAGGTGCTCTGCATGCAGAGCTCTACCTCAGAGTAGCTCCTGGGAAGCCCCAGTTGACACTTATTGTTAAAAGTGAAGGAAGTGGGGCATAGAAACACCTAGAGGACCTGCCCAGTCATGGTAACTTAACAGTAGATAAGAGCAGAACTTTACCTTCCCAACTATGAAACCTGTGCCTAGCCTTCTGAGGTTGTCCCCAGCTGCCTCCTGAGCCCCACACATAGCACAAGGTACAAGGGAGGAGGATGGAGTGGGGTGGCCTAAGAAGTGACTTGGGTAGAGGTGAAAGATCTGCCATAATTCAGATTCCTTGCGACCAAGGCCATGGCTATAGCCAGGTTGTGTGACCCTGCGAGGACTGAGGCTGGTCTGAACAGCAGGGTTAGCGTTCTGTTTCAAGAAAGCACTGTACACCTAGGTCAGCATGCGTTACCCTGTCCACGAGTCATATTAAAGAGGCCACACTGTTGCTCCCAGCAGAGGCTGCCTGAGCCCCAGAGAGACAGGAAAGTGAGAATAAAGGTGAATGGAAAAAGGTGTCTTTCCTTCCTTCCTTCCTCCCTCTCTCCTCTGTCCCTTCTCTCTTTCCTTCCCGCCTTCCTTCCTTCATCCCTCCCTCCTTCTCTCCTTCCTTCCTTTCTCCCTTCCTTCCTTCCTTCCTTCCTTCCTTCCTTCCTTCCTTCCTTCTTTCCTGCCTGCCTGCCTGCCTGCCTTCCTCTCATCTCTCCTTTTCATCATTACATGGTAGTTAATCCTATTGCTGAACATTTGTGAGCAACTGGTACCCAGGTCTAGCAGAACACTACAGCAATCTTAAGCACAGCACTGTATGATATACAAACAATGTGCTCTTCATAGCACCCCAAATGTAGGTGCAAGTACAGATGCCAGTGCCACCTCTCTCAGATGAGAAGCTGGAAATATAAAGAACTTCCATGAGTTAATCAAGAACTCGGAGCTGGGAGGGACTTTAGAGGAAATTTCTGGATCCCAAGCAGAGATCTCTCTGTCCCTTTGAGTCCCCTCTGCCTCTGAGACACCTTCTAAAACATTAGGCCATCATGGAAGGCTTTTCCTCTGACAGTACTGTCTCTGGTCTGTGTGCAGAGCCTGTAATCCCCACCTTAGGCTTGTCTTTAACACGTGGCACGGCAGTGTTTGCGTGAGATGTAGAATGGTAAGTAAAGCTGAAAATAGCTTTTTTCGTGCCTGAATTTGCACAGGCACTTCTGAAAATATGGAATCGAGATCTTGGTGTGGCTTCTGGTGCCTCCTCCTGTACAAATGCTGCTTTCTTGCCATATCCTCACAGAACGCAAAGCTGAGCGAGAACAGCAGACCTCCCTCATGTCTCTTTTAAAAGAACCCTGGAGCCCTTGCAAGGGCTCGAGTCTCATGATCCGAGCTGTCATGTCTATGACTTCACCACCTAACACTGTCCTGCTGGGAGGATGATTTCAACATAGGAATGGGGGAACAAAGACACACAGTTTTTAAATAAAGCAGCCGAAAAGATTCACCCAGGGAAATCACCAAATAACATGGCCAGCTTTCCCCAGGCTCAGCAAGAGGGAGCCCACGCCTGCAGCACCCTCAGGTTGGGGTCAGTGTCTGTTGGCTCTTGGCCTTGGCTGGATGGCAAGCGACTCTGGCTTTCCACCCTCCCTGGCACTCTCTGCATGCTCCGTGCCCAGGGTCAGGCCAGACACAGTTTTACAACATGATCTCAGAGGGGCATGTTTTTAGACAGCAAGGACACTGCGGTTTTAAAGAATGGTTATGATGGGTTTCAAAGTTTCTAATCATGGTCCTAAAATGGAAGCTTCCACCCCAGCCCACGTCTAGAGGAGATGCTGTAATTTAAGATTGAGTTATGCCTCTGAAGTCAAAGCCAGGTCTTGCATCACTGTTTCAGAGTCTGAAGCTGATCTGCTGCCATGCCTTCCACCTACTCCTCACCTCTGTGCCTGGCCTGCACAAACCCCAGGATGAGCCTCTGCTGTGGTACAGACTCCATCCTTGGGGGCCCACACACAGCTCGTGGCCACTCTGAGAAAAATCTCTTTGTGAATACAAAATGAGATGAAGGGTGAAGACTGGAGGGTCCTTTCATGTAAGTTTGCTGTTTGCTTACAGGGAGTTTAATATCATGATGCCCACAAGCTCTGTTATTGTCCATGTTTTACCAGTGTTATCCAATCAGCAAAGGCCACTTCAGCTTAGCAAATGAATCAGTGGTGCCTGTTGTAATGCTGGCCTCCTGTCCAGGTAAAGGAGGGGACAGAGTTTCCAAGCTCACCCAAAAGGTCATCATTCTAAAAAGCAGAGTGCATGGTTTATTGATTTGTATCATTTGGGTTTTTTCTGTCTTTCCAAAAATAGTCTACAGATTGCAACACCATTGCCATTTATTCTAAAATGTAATCTTGCAAACCTGGAACATCTGCTAGCCTATGTTAAATACTTACACATACACGAATGTGCCCTGGGGTACAACCCTTTTTTTTTTTCATAAACTCTGGCCCCACCCCTACTCCTTAAACTAAAGTCATTTCTAACATTTTTTATCACGTGATGATAAGACTCTCCCCACATTACTGTGTTTTGTAAAATATTTGCTTGGCTATTTATTCTTTTGGATGAAATTCAAAGCCATTTTGTCAAGTCAGTCAAGCTTATCATCTGGAATGATCTCAGAGTTAAATATGGCTTTGTTCTGTTCATCCAAATTTTATGATGTTTAACACTTCATGTCACTAAAAATGGAATGGATTTTTTTCCATTGTGCTTTCCAAACAGTCCTGTTGGCATAACTAGTAGCCACTTGTTCATGCGTTGACATTTTTCTAACAGGACACCCAACCGAATCAGCCATAGGTGAAAGGCAGGCTCTTTACCATGAGGCTACTTTGAAAATGGGACCAAACTGGCATTCCAGATTAGTAATGGCCTGCCTCAGTGGGGCACTGGTCTGAGAACACTCTGAGTCAACTAATTTAGTTATGCATTGCTTTTTCCTTCATCTATCAACTCAACAACGCTTTATTGGCCTCCTGCTTGGGGACTGCATCAGGCAGCAAAAGATGACACCAGGAAGGACAGGTGAAAGTGTACAGCTACTCCTTGTCTCTACCCTGTGACCTCCTCCAGGAGATATGCTTTCTAAGCCAGCCTGAGACTATTCTCCATGCTGTTCAGGCTGCATCCATCTCACTCTGGTCACCACTGCAGACCCCAGGGGAGCCCTCCTATTGCCAGTCTTGGCCTTGAGTGGGTCATTCTCATGTTGTGACCCTTTGAAACCACAAATCTGATGAGAGCATCACCACCTAGCATCATCGGGGAACCAGGCAAGCCTGTGGCCAGCAGGGGCATCTACTGAGTTTCTGGCTGCAGAGAGCCTTCCAGTTCCACAGGTGAGCCTGAGTGCTTGCTGACCAAACCCACTATAAGAAGTGGAAACAGCTGGGGATTTAGCATATAATTTGGGTTATTTATGTTAATTTGTCTCAATCCCCCTTACAGTAATTGGAATACTGAGGCATTGGGAGGAAAGGTCACAGGGCATCCCAAGGTTATGGGGAGTCCTTCAGTTTTACAGAACCTGGCCTCAGGCCCCAGCAACATTCCCAGTGACGATGCTTCTTCCACTCACCATGCTGTAGTCTAGGACCTCTTCCACTAGTCAGTGCCAGGCAGACCAGCCCTGCCCAGCAGCAGGCCTGCCTCACCCTGGCCATACTGCTGTGGATCTGTCTTGCACACAGTAAAAACAGTTGACCATGGAAGAGCTTTCCAGCAGGTTCCACACCTTTGTGCTGCTGGAAATGAGGCCCTGTCCTGTGCATTAGCTGGGGAACAGTGGCCCTAGAGATTCCCTGATGTTCATGTGGCCACTTCATTCTATGACCAAGATACCCTAGCAACAAGTGCTCTTGTATGTCAGGCAGGCGTGAATGCTTGACAGTTTATATGAAGATTGTCCAATTCTGTTTCCTAATTCTCTCCCGAGATGACCAGTGTCACTCCTGATTCACAGAGGAGGAAAGTGAGGTTCAGAGAGGGCCACTGCTGCCTAAAGCCACACAGCTGGCAAGCGGCAGATCAGTATCAGAACTCAGGGTAGCAACATGTGGTGGCTTCCCTCTGCAAACTGTAGAGTTACTGAGGGCAGACAGACAGGAGAGCAAGCTGTGAGAGGCAGGATGGGACGGCAGAGAGCAAGCAGCTGGGAGGAGCAGTTTGGGTCA